TAAGTTCTGCGCGTTGCGCTCGAAATGCTTATGATTATTATGCTCTTTAATTAAATTACCCATTATTTTAATGGATCTGCATGAAGATATAACATGTAGATGAAAATGGAAAAATCTAAGGCTAAAAGAATAGAACGAAAAACAGGTGTCGAGTTAGGCTAGGTTTTTCTGAAAAATCTAATTTAATTAATGTGGTGATTTGCAGCTTACGTGTTTTCTTTAGAGATGATACAGCTAAAAGCACTTATGTACCTCCAAATACATAAATTTAAATTTGAAATTAAATATAATTAAATAAATGAAATCAATATTTACGAAGTTTTAGCTATTTGAATTCTTTTTGTTCGGATTTCTTCAGTTGGCTGTGTATGTCATGGTCATGCTGCGAGACTCTTGACAATAGTTCACTCTGTTTTTGTAACTTACTTTTTTTAGTCGCTTGCTTGAATTTTATTTGTTTGCTGTTTTTGGCGCTGACTTCGCTCTCTTTCTTTCTTGAGGACAAACCACAACACGAATGGAAACTTGTAAAATGTCGCCGTTGAAAAAGAGGGAAGAGAAATGGGATAGTAGCGAGTGTAATGTCGATACGAATTCGGCGGGGTAAACAAGTTTACGGCCAACTCCAGACGCAAACAAAAACACCAAAGAAAATCAGGGGTACACTGAACAAATGTTTATAATGAAATGTAATTGTGTTGAATCCTTTTGATTAAAAAGTTGCAAGCCATCAACTTCAAGCGCTGATTAAACTGTTCATTTGAAGCTGATTTAATTTTTAACTGCTTATAAAAAATGGTAAAGAAGGCTCTTTTATTATTTTATAATGGGACTACACTTCTTAAATTAAAGAAGGAAACTTATTCTGAATTACATCTTTCCTTAAAACCCTATTTAGTGCTTATTTAATAAGTGTTAGTTAGTTTTTTGTGTTGACTTTAAAAAACATTTCCAGTGCACTGCAACAACAGCAGCGCCAACAAGATGACGCCAAGAAATGCAGATGAAGCTGACAGCAGCCAAACGACGACGATGTCGGTGCAATGTTCAATGCATATGGGTCGCTGCTCCATTTCCACATGGACGCCACTGCATCCAGTTGGGTCCTCTCCGCGTCCCAATCCGAATCTCAAGCCCGAATCCCCGAACCTCAAACCCCAAACCCATCCCCATCAATTGAGGAACATGCAAGAAAGCAGCAGAAGCAGCAGAAGCAGCAGCAGCAGGACGACGCCGATCTTTGGCTGCATAATTGCCAGTCTAAATCAATGGGGCGCAAGCTGTTGCCGCTGAGCATGTTGCTGTTGTTGGCGTTGCACCCATACATGACTCGGTCGGACTTCATTGTCAACGCCGTTTGCCATTGCCGTTTGCCGTCTCCATCGGCATCTCCACATCCACATCCAACTCCATCTCCATCGGCATCGCCATCTCCATGTCCCAAGTCTTATGTCCATGTCCGTCGCGGTCGTCGTCAATATTTGCCATGATCTTATCGTCAAGCGGAGTCATGTCGCTGCCATGGCTTTACTGCCGAGCCCACAGTTACCCCCTCGGAAACCCCCCTTTGCCACACCCCTGAGCAACAGCGGCAGTACTCACTTGGGTGCAATTATTTTTTAGATACACTACCAAAAGATATCCTTACCTGCAATGGATTAAGTCATATCACTGGTTAATCACTGATTTTTAAGGTTCACATAAATCAAACAATTCTTTAGCAATAAAATATCTTGGTTCTATGGTATTACATCATTTTAATATATGCAAATTAAAATTAAAAAAAAATCTTTAAAATGTTAACTTTCAAAAGGAATAACATTTATTTAAATAACTACCGACTTAACGTAGTATTAATACAAATAAAAGTATACAAATCTATAAGATAATTAGTCTTTAATAAAAAAAACTAATAAAAATATTAATACTAATCTTTTACAAATGTTGAAAGCCTTTTAAAATGGTATTTAATGTTTGAAAAATCTTTTATATATACTCAAAGTGTTTTAGACGTACTGATTTAACGTTAGGGTATTTAGACTCTTTAATTTATACTGATCTCTTTGGATCTCCCCCTGGCTCCGCTGCACATCATCTTTGGTGCTGAGTTATGGCAAAAGACCTTGGACTTAAGCACTAGCGACGTCGATATTCCGTCTCGCCCCCCTGTTCCCTCATCACCTAGAATAAAACCAAACGGTGCCGTCTCGCACCCGCACTCGTAACCAAGATGACTCCGCCGAAACCTGCCCATGCCCCTGTCCACCCCCCACTCCACCTCTGCCAATGGTGCAATTTGTCATTGCACCGTCAGCGACGACGCGTGCGCCAGCATGGAGACTCGAGTCACTGAGCTGCCGGCTGCTCCTCAGCCACTCGGCTTCCAAACACTAGGAAAAAATCAGTCTTTAATCAGGAATTACCACCTAAATTTCAACCAAAAATTGAATATTGGTCTTTTGGATGATCTTGTGAACTTTGGGTAGTATCTTTAAAATTAATCAAAGCGGAGACCAACTGAATTATTTGTTCTGATTTAAAAATGATAAATATTTAAGCATTTTAAATAAATGCACTCTCAATAAAAATAAATGGGGAATACGGAATTAGCTCAAAATAAAAACTTTCTTACCTAGTTAATTAATCCTTGAAATTCATTGAAGGTAACACAAAGTTCTTAGCTTTCGGAAACTTAATCTTAAATGTTTTTAAGGAGAATACAATATGTATTGCCTAATTACCCGGAAAAATAGGAGGTGCTAATATTAAAAGCCGACCCCCTATAAAAAAATCATTTTTCTTAGGAGGCAATTCGATGTGTAGCCTTGATTTTCCTTGCCCTTTTTTCGCTCAGTGCTCTTTTGAGCTCCTTGGCTGCTTCAGTGCCTCGTCATCTATCGCTGGCTGCCATCTGCTTACAGTTAAAGCGACTGTCGGTCGCCGAGCTTCGAGCACTGAGCATCTCCTGCTGCGTTTCGGTTTCGGTGGTGCTGCTCCACCAGTTGGTGGTGCTAGTTGGATGGGGCTGAGGATGGCGCTCCTTCGCGACGACTTCTTTATGGCTCTTGATTTTTATGATTTTGCTGTTTAATGGTTCATTTGTGGGCCTCCACTGCGAGTACGAGTATGTGTCTGGCTTCCAGTTTTCTTATCGCTGCGTCTATATCTCCTTCTTAACTATTTCAATGTGTGTCTTATTTTATTTTATATTTTTTGTGTAGTTTGCCATCGTCGCCAGTTTGGGGGCATGTCTGCCGGCTTAATCTCACTCCTTAGAGCGTTATTTTTTTCAATTTATTTATCTATTTCTTGGTATTCTTTTTTTTCGGGGCCAGCTTGTTAACCCAATCGCAGATTAAGTCCGGAATTCTGGCCAAAATAAAGCTTAGTTGATTGAAAATTTATGTTGCATACTTTGAGGCTGCCAGGAGGGAAGGAGAAATCAAGAACTGGTTGTTAAACTGCAACATTTAATGGTAGCACCAGCTCCCCTAAAATGCTGAAACCCAATACCATGATTATGCTAATGAGCCGTTGTTGACACGCTCGCTGATCTCCGGATCTCTTGGATCTTCAGATCTCCATCATCATTAGCCCACCTTTCGGGTTTACCATTTACCAAGAGGCGACTTCCTACAGACTCGCTTCGATCATCGCCATCGTTTGCTTTGGCCATTTGTTTAACTGCCGCTGTGACACCTCCTCTGCGTTGGAAATGAGGATGGGGATGGCTGGATAGTTGCCCCATGAAGTTGGCAAAGGCGAAGGCAAAGGCGAAGGCGATGGCAATGGGTAATGGATAATGGCGCCGCCTCCATTCAAAAATCACTTTATGGCTGCTGCGACTGCAGCTGAGGTTGCGTTGTCCATAATTGGACGCAGTGCCAATCATTTTAACAGCTACACAAACACGCAAGCCGCGAAACCGGCTGCGATTGCTCCTCTTCGTTTTCCCCCACTCGATTCACTTCGTTCCTTAACCATGCCGATAATGCAAATATGCACAAAAAGTGCGGTTTCAACTTTTAGATACCTCTTTAAAACCTTTTTGTTATGGTTAAAAGCCTTATATTTATGATATCAAACAAACAACATTGCCCAATTTATGCGGTAGTAAGAAATATTTTTGTAAACCCTGTGTTTTAACTTAGGTTGTTTTAGTTGGGACACAAAAATATAAAAAGGTCGGCATAAAACCTACCTAACACCCTTGTTAACCACAAATACAGGGTATAATGAGTAGTATGTAGAATTAGACAACCGCTGGCAACCACTTCAAAGCGGTCTGCAGTTACAGGACCAGGAGGAAGCCACCGTCTGTCCATTTTAGTGCCCATCTCCTTCCTCCGCCGGATTCTGGTTTGGTCTCAATGACAATTGGCGCCATAGCCGCGGGGTGCGTTTGGAATATGGTGTCTGGCTTTCGAGGATCGCTCCTTGGGTTGTTGGGTTGTTTGTTTATAATTAGCCCACTCGCTCGCCACCGACTGCAATTCAAATTGATGATGGCTACTGGTTTTGCCAGGCTTCCATTGCTATTTTTATGCTCGATCAATTTTCTAACAACTTTAAAGCCTCCACAGCGAAAAAACTATTACCAAAATGTATTTGTATTTCTTTACATTTGCCATTAAAATTATTTTTCTGTATCGGACGGAGTAGAAAGGTAGTTAAATATTGAACTGGTATTAAAAAGCTTTCCAAAAAATTATGGTGAAGAATGGTAATTTTTTCATAAGTTTTATTAATCTCTTATATTCCAATAAGCCAATTATATATATCTGCCTCATTGGTTAAACTACAACTGGAGGTGACTTACTTACTTGCTGTCAAGAAAGAAAGAAAGCATTCTCAATAGAATTTAATGTAATACAAATTGGGACTTCTTTTGAAATGACACCCCTTGCACTGTTAAAAGTTATATTTATTTTTTCTGTGTATTTGTTCTATGATCAATCGATTTTCTAACAACTCATTCTTTTCCTTTAATCACTTTGCAGGCGGAAATGCTCATGGACGATGGTCTCCTGGGCTCGGGGCATGTTCTTGGCTTGGCGGGACATCCTCATGGACTGGTAGGCGCCTTGGCCCCGCCCCCGCCGCCGCCGATGAAACAGCCCCAGATGGACATTCCCAGTGGCAAGAAGCAGCAGCAGCAGCAGCAGCAGCTTAAGGGGGCGTCGACGGCTGCCACGCCCGCGCTGGAGTATCACTATCAGATTATGTATGCGCAGTGTGTGCAGCAGCAGCAGCAGAGGGAGCGGGAAAGGGAGCGAGAGCATCTGCCACACTCGCACTCGCATTCGCATCCCCTGCCCCACCAACATCGAGCCGTACTGGTGGCCACCGCCCCCCACCCACATGGACCGCATCACCACCCACCACCCACGCTGAACTCCTCGTCGGCCTTCCGACCTTGGGGACCCACCACCGCCAAGGCTTTTCTGCATGCCTACAATGCCACGCTATCTTCGCTACCCTATACCTGCCAGGAACCACCCAAGCTCCAGAATCCGGAGCGAGTGGTGCGGAGTACGGACAAGAGATACGCGGAGACGACTTACCAACCCAATGTGGCCTTGGCACCGCGGAAGAGTATGCTCTCCAAGGAGCGGGACAGCGAGAGGGAGCGCCTGGAAAGGGAGGTGATGGAGCGGCAGAAGTTGCGGGAGAAGGAGCGGGATCAGCAGGTGGTGCACATCAAGCTAGAACGCGCGCAGACACCCACACCACCCACAATATCGCCGCCCGAGGATGTGGCAGCACCTATGGAGGTCGTCGAACCACCGCACACCTCCTCGAGTGGCAGCAATTCACCACTACCCGCCCACCTGCCACCCGCAGCACCAGCCACCGCACCACCGAATGCTGTCGGTGGTGCACCGCCGACACCCACTAACCTGCGGAACATGCGCAGTCCCGAGGAGTTTTCGGCGGGTGGCAGTAATGAGATTACCTCCTCCACCTCACCGCACCACCAGGTGGTGCAGCAATCGGCCGGAGTCCAACCACCGTCGCAGCACATCATAGCCACCGTTAATCAGCATGCCAAACTTTTACCCAGCTCTAGTTCGCTGCCAAACGGTAATGGCAGTTCGTCGCTGGCAGCCACAAACAACGAACCAAGTCGGATTAGGATCAACAAGAACCTGATGAGTCAGCAGCCAGTGGTGGGGGTGAGTGGCATTGCCCCACATCACCACCAGCACCATTCGACGCACATGCATCACTACGGCCATGGGTACTACAAGAGTCAAGCCTCATCACCCACTCAATCCTCCAGTGCTGGCCTGAACCTGAGTACCCATTCATCGAATGTGGTCAGTTCGCCGCATCATCCGAACCATCATCAGAAAACGCAGCATAGTTCAGGAGGATCTGGCAACCATAGCCTGCAAAATGGCAAGCCCCATTTGGGCAGTGAATTTGAGTTATCCACGGACACTGATGATACGGACAGTCTGAATGGTGAGCCCGATTCGAGTGCCATGCTACCACCCTGGGAACAGGCGGTCGAATCCTTGAGAGAAACTCGTCCCAGAGATCGGGAGAGGGTGCTCCAGCTACTTCAGCGATTACTGCAGGAGAACCATCAGTATCGATACAATAACATCCAACTGAGTGAGCTGCTCCACAAACAAGACGCCCATATAGCCGATCTTACGGAGCAACTTCAAAGATATCGCAGACAGTTCGAGGAGCAGGACTGCAAACTAGATCTTCGAAAGATGCCATTCAAGCAGCAAACTCGACTGGAGGAAGTGGTGGATGAGAGTCGAGGAGAGCCGGAGGAGGACGAGGACTTGGAGGAAGAGGAAATGGAGGACAGAGCTAATAACAACAATCAACAGGAGCTATCTCCCCTGATAAAGCCCCCAACAAATGGCCTGCGACGAAGTGCCACGCCCCTTAACTGTTGTCGGAGTGAGGGGGATTGCGAAAAACTGGAAGAGCCAGAAAACAAAAGAATGAAGCTGCAGGAAGAAGAGAAAATTCAGGACAGGCAGGTGGAGGAGGAGGAAAGTCCCTCAAATAATTCGGAGCCAGACGATTTGGAAAAGACGCTAGAAAATGACGATACATCTCCCCCCAATGATAATATTAAAAGTCCCCAGCCCAGTCAAATCTCCAGCGATGAGGAAATGGAGGAAGATGAAGATGAAGAGGAGGAGGAGGAGGATGAGGATGAACGGGTTCAGATACAAGCTCCCCACAGCAGTGCCCTGGCCACGCCCCCCACGGCGACAACGCCCCTTTCACCGGACTCGGCGGCAACTGCCGGCCAGTTATTCGATAGCAGCAATAGCAGCGATGAGTCCTCGATGAAGAAGGCCCAAATGTCCGCCTGCCATGCACTGGAAAAAATCAGCAGCAACGTCGCCAGCGATGAGAACAACCAAAGGCTTGAAGAGGAAAGCCAGGAGGAGGAGGCGGAAGTGGAGGTGGAAGCGGAGGCGGACGAGGATCCAGATGAAGAGGACTCCGATGACGATGAGATGCCATTGCAGCAGCGACAGCAGCAGCAACGCCAGCGGGTAGGACCTCAGACCGCGGTCAGTGGATCAGCCCCTGCCGGCCACCATCAGGCACCACCACATCCACATCCACATCCACATCCACATTCACAACCACATCCACATCCCCCCATGGCCACCAAGGCCAGCAAGAAGCAAACGCCACCAGCACCACCCACAACAGCCACATCCGGCACAACATCAGCGACAACGAACTGCGAGTTACAAATCAAAAAGGAAATAGCCTAGAGATAAATACCCAAAAAAAAACCTCTCAAAGAAAAGCTCTTTCGCACACACAACAAAGCAGTTAAATCATAGTTAAGATCCCCATTTTATTTCAAAAAAGAAAGTGCAGCCGAAATTCAAGCACAAAACATAAACGCACATATTGCCCATTTGAGGGGTATTATAAAGAAAGCAAATATTTCGCAAATAGGGAGGAACAAAGTATAATTCGATATTTTTTGTAAGGGTTTTCAAAATATCTGCTAAGAAAAACTGGCTTTCAAACTCTTTTAATATAAGGGGTTTACGATATGGACTTTGAGTATTTAAATTAAAAATCACTTTTTGTTAAGATGATTTTGATTTTGATTTGATTTTCAAATAACTTGAGCCTTCTGCGACTCCTTTAATATTTTATTATTTTTAATAAATTTCCAATCAACAGTTTAAAGGCCTTTTATATTAACAGAAATTCGTTATAACTAAACTTAAAATCCAGGGAATTTCATCACTTTCAAAACCAAACATTTCCCTAAAAAAAACAATTTAAAATTAAAAATATTTTTCAAAACGCTTTCACATAGCTTGAATTGATCTCACTTATATAAAAAAAGGAAAAAAAAACAAGTTATTTAGGCTTCCCTAATTCGAAAATCTTTCAGCGTGCTTGCAGAAATTATAAATGAAACCAAAGCTTTAAAAAATTTAATTTTTGTATATTATTCAACGACCAACTTGTGCGTGTGTTAATAGCACTTATAGTTAAACCTAAATAAGTTATTATTTGTTTTAACTTGAAAACTTTTAAACCCAAAATAATATTCAAATCGAGGCTTTGAAAGCAAAATTTAGAAAAGGTTTTTCTTTGTTCAGACAGGCAGCTGGTTCTTATTAAGAAGGATGTTATTACATTTAGTTTGGACCCTAACTTTAAGTTGAACAGACAAATCGATAGAGCAAAATGAGAGGACACACAAAATGAACCCACCACAGATAACAACAAAATTAATGCTAAAATATTCTAACATAATTCTTATTAAAGAAAGGAAAACCAATATTAATAAATAAGATGTTGCCGCGTTAAATTATACAATACAAATATGAGTAATATTCTACGATATATGATAGTTGATGAGCAGCAAGTGCGGGATTATTAATTAATGCTAAGCCTTCACGAAAAGCATAAACATATACATAACATACATAAAGATTAATATTTATTGTAGCTGCTAATTCGAGCAATTATCTTATTTGTAAAATTATAGCCTTCTGTTCTTCTTCACCTTTTAAGCTTTGCTCTGTAGGCATTTAGTTTCGTAGATTGTAACCATACAACAACCACATTTGCTAACTAGTTCATAAGGCTTATCGTTGGCTAAGTTCTTTGTCTATTGTGAATGACATCGAATGGTCATCAGTTTTTTGTAAATATTATTTTTCCTTCGACGAGATTAGAGTACAACGGATTTTAGTTGCCAACACTTTGTGAGAAACATATGTATATGCTAGATAACTTCTGGATGATAACCAACTGGAAACAAACCCAAGCCAAGAGCCAAGCGAAAAGAGCGCAGAGATTTCAAAAATCTATAAACTTTTGTTATAAAAACATATTTCATAAATTATTTATGCCTGTGTGTGTTTGTACTTTTTAAAAGAAAACATTTCGTTCTGTATTTAAGAATACAAATTCTAACCTAACATAAAACAAAACAAAAAGAAAAGAAAAGAAAATTTAAACATTTAAACAAATTCAAACCAAAATTTGTCTAGATCCTAAGCTAAAATTGTGTAAAATTGTATAAATTTAAAAGAGCTATAAACGAAACATTTAAACCATTTAAAAACCATTTAAATTGAGATATTAAGCATGAAAAAATCCACTGTTATGCATATTTAAAGAAGTTAAATAAAATATATGGAACAAAAAATGAAAAAAACAAATTACAATTGCTATGCAAAAATAAAAACAAAAATATACAAATTATTGTAAATGAATTCTCTCCATTTTTGTGTTTTATTTGCCAGACCAGAACCAGTACGATAATAAACGAATTACATTAAATAAATTATAAATCACAGCAATACAGAAAAGTACCGAATAAATAGGGACGAAAAATGGTTAATCAAAAACGTCAAAACGGTTTTCAGCAAATTTCGTGTATTTATGGCCAAATTTTATAAAACGATAAAAATAGTTGAGCATACAGAGACGAGAAAAACCCAAACATTTTTTGTATCATTTTTGCTAACAACCCAAAGAGATAAACAACAAAACAAACAATCATTTTTATAATTAAACGATTAAAATATATTGACAAATTTTACATAACCCGAGTGTTTATATATGACATATTATATATTTAAAATTAAATACGATATAGAATGATGCCCAGCAAAACACGAGCATCTTTGCCCCGCTTAATGAATCGACTTGATATTGTTAAAACTTAAACGTGCAAAGGCTAAGTAACCAGAAGAACAAGAAATCACAAAATAATGGCATAAGTTATATATTAATTATTTAAGCATGCAGCAACAAATCCGCGTCTTGTCAAAATACAACATATACATAATTATATGTCTGACGATTCAGAATGCAGAAATAAAATGTACAAATTGTGGAGCAAATAAACAATAGAAAATATAGTGAGAATTCGGAGAGGAGTATGAACGAAAACTTAAAATGAAATGCACCACATGCAAATAAAGTTTAATCAAATTAAACAGTTAATGAAAAAACAAATTTGACTTCAACGTTTCATATTTAAGTAGTGCAGAAACAAATAAATACAAAGGAAAACAAAAATAAATTATTACACATGTAATGAAAACAAAAACAACAAATAAAAAAGCGATAAATATTATGCAAAATATGTCAATGTGATTTTTATTTGCAAGGGAAAACTGCGGGAAATGACCACATAAGTAAGAAAAGGAACCATTTATTTAAAATAAAAAACAACAGAAATATCACTTTACAAAACTGGCTTACTGGGTTAAAAAGAATAATTTTTTTCAAATTAAGAAACTTCGGATGTGTTTGCGACTTAAGCTTATCAAATTAACATTTTAAAGCCAGTAGTCATAGCAGAGAAAATATTTTAACATTTATATAACAAAGAAATGATTAAATTTAAAAAGTATTCTGGCCAAGGGGAGTCCCAGAAATTGCTCTAACAAAAAGTTTCGTGATTATACATTTTTGGATATTTCAAAACCTACATAGATGCCAAAAAATAAGTTAAATTTGAAACACCCTTTAATGACAGTTTTGTATATTTTAAGTAGCAAGCTTATAAATTAAATTATATAATAATAATAAAGTGATAGGCATAACAGTGTATTAACAGATATCTGCTGTCAATCGTTTTGTTTTAATTTTAACAACGCCCAATTGCACGCAATGTATTTTTTCGGAATTAAAAAAATTAAACTGCCCAACAGTATGCAATTCAATAGTACCGCTTAATCAAAGGCAATATTCATATGTCATAAACGATTTACAATTATCATGAATCAGAATAAAATAATTTTGTTTTTAATATTTTTCACCCGTGCGAAACTCACAATGAAAAAGATACAATAATTTCTTTAAAAGTTTACCTTCACTAGTAGGGCTCATTAACTTTTATTAACGGAATTGTGGATGGCCACTTAAATATAATATCTATTAACCTTATATTACCGAATAACAAAAACAAGACGGAATAGATTTATAGATTCTTTGGGTTTTTGAAGTTAAAATTACCTTAGGGTCTTGCTTACTATGTTGAATTAATAGCTCAACATAAATAAATGAGCTTAAGTTTGATTTAATGGGTACCGGACTAAAATAAAAATGTTACAAATTTAAGCCAAGCGAAGATAAAATTACAAAGAATAAAAAAAAACGTTTTGAAATTACAGGAACAAATCGTGGCAATTAAACAACATTTCAGTTTACGCGATGGCAAATTAAATACAAAAACAAAAATTCTGATAAAAAACATACATATATAGATTGTGATTTATTTATTAAAAGAAGCACTAGTGTACTCTCTGAATTATAAATACCACAAGAATGAATGTACAAAATAGCGGAAACTCTTCAACAAAACAGATATATTTCCAATGTGGTGGATTGACGATAATCCTGCTGTTTATAAGGCAGACTCAACGTCCATGTCCGCCATAGATTGCCAACGGCAATAGCTCAGAAGAAAACGGGTAAACTCCAAGGAAACATAGAACAGGGATTGAGATAGTGACTTAGAGATGATAACTTGCTTTTCTCATACAAGTGACAAGAAAGTAAAGCTCTTAAAAGTTATCTATAAATCTTTTCTACGATTTTCCAACTTTGTCCTACTTTTTTTCAAATAAAAGGCATTATTTTTAAAAGAAAGTGAAATAAAATTTATTTTTGATTGCTTTTTTTTAGATCTTTTGAATTAACATATTTTTGTCGTTTCTTTTATTTTAATCCAACTAAACTGTATCATCCGCCTGGCAAATAAAGTGTTTAACTCCAGTGCAACTGTCTGCCCACATGCCACCATCATGCATGGATACGCAATGCTGACTCTTGTAGTCGTATCTGGGTTCACCCGGTTTCCACTTCAAGAATGGAGCTTCCTTGCCAGTTGCCTCTACTATGAATTCGCCCTCCTTCTTAATATCGTTTATGTCCAACGTGTAGCTAGTACCTTCCTTCAATTTCTTGCTGATCTCCCCGAATTCCCATTCGCTTTCGATGGAGGCTAGTTGCCCATCCATTTTGCGACAAAACTTTATGGCGTCAGCCCAACCCAGTTTAAGGTTGTGTTCGATGTAAAAGAGCCTTTTGCCGATTTTTTCAAACTGGAGCAATTTAGCAATTTTCTTATCCATTTTTGAAAGGGTTTCCAACAAGGCCGTTTGTTGGCTTCCGATCTTAACCAGCAATGCCTGCAGTTGTTCATCTGTCTTGCTTTTTACCGCTGTCAACTGGTCCTCGATTCTTGCCAATTTAGCCTGGGTTTCGTTTAAGTTGACATTATCGCAGGTTTTCCACTGGTCCTGGTGCATGGCTATATGATTAATCAGGGGCATCAGCGCGGTGAGGCAGAATTCCCCACATTGATTCGGGGGATCCTGCAATAGGCACATAGAACGGCCAGTGTTCTCGGATCCTGACACGTTAAGAATAAAAGCAAGAAATGCACAGAAGAAAACTGATTTCAACTTGGACATGCTGAAAGAGTTTAACCGCTGGAGACGAAAGTTTAAATTGCACTGACTCGGACTGAAATTGCTGCCTTTCACAGAGCTCCAAAGTATTATTGATAAGGACGACTATATATAATATATATAAAAATATACGATATATATATATCTGCATATATATTCAAATGAATAAATTAACTAAAATTAAAATACGAGCGATAATAACGGTACAGACTGGAAAGTATTTTCACAGTCGCTTTTTGTTCGAATTGATCAAAATGAATGAACAAAAATATTATTAAGATATAATATACAAGTTATATTTATGAGTAATTATTCTTATTTTATTTAATGCACAGGGTCATCCCCTTGGTCAGTATGCTTAGATAGTTTTATATAGCCAATTCAGTTTGTCTCTGTATTATTTGGAAGCTCAGTTTAAAAGATAAAAACTTTAGCAATCGCCCTTTTATATTTGTTCGCGAATTTAATTAATTTGCAGTTTTTGAAGAAGTTATTTCTCGCTTATTTGTGTAATATAATGTTTTTATACAATTTTTGGATCACCATATTCTGGCCGTAAGGTTCTATGCAGAGTATTCACGCAGTGTAAAAGCTATTAAAATAAAACTTTCCAAATCGTATCTTTTTATGTGATTACTGATTATATTAAATGTTAAATCCGATCAAACGACTATATCCTATAGCTAAATTTGGTTGTTTAATATAAAGTTGTATATCAATGTCGGTTTTTTTTTTAACCGATTTTTGCTTTTTCATGTGATAATTGATTGGAAATTTTGTGGCGAAATCAACGATTCAAATCTGTCCGATACCTTGAGTATTCCATTATGCATGATTCCTTGATACCATTTTGTCCGATACTTTGAGTATCCCATTTTGTATGTGAGAATCGATTGAACATTTTATGACCAGCTATCGTTTTTGTTGTCCCTAATCTCGACAGCGAGAGTTTGCGAAGTTCTTAAGGCTTACAAAAAGGCTTTTAGGCTTAGTAATACAATTGACTTAGTTTTATTTTTCACAGTGTTTGATAAAAGAACTTGCTGAACGACGGATATGACATGTTAAATACGTACACAAGTTTATAAAAGAATTAAAACACATTATTTATTATCAATTTTTATTTAATGACTCATTAAACACCGTTTTGCAAAAAATAACAACAATTTAGTACTAGATCTGTAGATCAAAACTTTGAGATCAGTTAGGTGCTATTAACCAATAAGTTAAGGGTTGAAATACATCTGCGATCCGTTCACAATGGATTTTAATGGATTTGATTATCTATGACAAATCGCCATTACCTGTTGAGAATATAAAAAATCAGACTTTCACTTTAATTTCAGTCTACAGCAGATAGTCGTGAAATGAAGTTCTTTTGTGAGTGAAAAATCGCAGTTCTTTTCATGCCATCAGCATTAACAACTCCATTCCATTTTGAAGGGGTGGTCCTATTGGTCACTTCAGTGCTGGGTCAATTCACCAAGAACCTATACCAATTTTTGATCCTCAATCATGACAATACAAATGTTATTGCTTCGCCTCTCTGCGTTGAGATCGGCTTGAGTATGATCCTAATGGGAGCTGAAGGAAAAACAGCAAGAGAACTAAGGAGAGCGCTGGTTCTGCCACAGGATAAAAAGGAAGTGGCCAGCATATACGATGAGCTTCTGACTTATCTCGAAAAACGTAAAAATGTTGCCATGCTGCTAATGGCAAATCGATTATTCGTCAACGAATCATTCCGAATTAATAAGGAGTACAATGAGCAAGTGAAGAAATCCTTCAGAGCCGAGGCAGAGGCTATTAACCTAGCCGATCAAACGAAAGCAGCCTATGCCATCAGCGATTGGGTCCTTGATCAGACACTCGATAATATAAAAGGTGTAGTTTTGCCACGTAACTTGGCACCCAATGAAAGTGTGGTTCTTGTGAACGTCGCTTTTCTTAAAGGATACTGGAAAACCAGGTTTGAAAGAAAAAATACCGAGCTGGTAAGATTCGGTATATCCGAACACAAAAGAGTTTTAGTCAAAATGATGTCTCAAGTGGGTAGATTCAGAATGAATAATTTGACTTATGGCCAAATCATTGAGCTGCCATTTGCCTACTCAAACCTCTCTATGATAATCGGCCTACCCCGGCATATCAAATGGCTGAGATGGGTGGAGAAGAAACTTGAAGTGTACTCCGAGTCCATGGAAGAAGTGCTAGTACATGTGCAATTGCCAAAGTTTAGGATCGAATTTCGCACAGAACTTGTTGGCATTCTCAAAAGGGTGTGTTGAATTCGGGTGTGTGTCCAGTTTAATCTATGGTTTATATGATGTTTTCACTTTACAGATGGGCATAAGGGATCTGTTCACCGATTCCTCGAACCTTGGCGCTCTACTGGAGGAACCTGTTGCCAGAATTAGTCAGATAATTCACAAAGCATTCATAGAGATAAACGAAGAAGGAGCCTCGGCAGGAGGCGCCTCTGGAGGATCTGACCCACCTGATTCGTTTTTTTTAAGATCCACCAAGCTTGTCTCTAGTGAGTTATGGACCATACTTTATTTTAGTCCATACTATATTTTATTGCTTCTCCTTTTCTTCCCAGATAATCCGGATGATTGGCAATCCTTTAAAGCCAGTCATCCATTTGCCTTCGTAATTCGCGATAAGAAAACCATATACTTCCGGGGACGTGTCTTTGATCCTGAGATGAACAGCGCAATAAAAATATAAAATTAATTATTATGTATAATTTGTTGGTTTCAATAAAAAAGGATAATCGAGCTTTTAGTTATCGGACCTAAGTATATAAAACTCCTTTTTTAATTTTGTTTCACAGCGGATTGTGGTTTATGTTAATTTCCTGACAAATTGCCGTGACTATTTTTATTAGCACACTTTGCGTGTAAAATCACTTCACATTAATTTAAAAACCAATTTTCAATGAAGTATTTGTGTAAGTGGAACATCCCAATCTTAATTTGATCCAGAAAAATTCAAAAGCATTTCATCAGGAAAACACATCCACTAAACACTTTCAAATTGCCCGACCATAATGGACGACCATATGGATTTGTAATAAGTGCGTAAAAGATCAGACTCGAAGGTGGATCACAGAAATAGCGACCGTGGATCCCGATATAAGAGTGTTACTGTTGAATCTCATTTACATCAAAGGAGAGTGAGTTTGAGCTCGAAAAAAGTAATTAAACTAAAAAACTCGTTCTGTTCCAGACAATGTCTTTGTTCACTGTATGTATTCACTGTAGGCACTCATAAAACTTGGATGCCCAGATGCAGTACCGTTGTTCACAACTTTTTAAGCTTATCTTTCTGGTGAACGCCGTCGATGGGCTCAGAGAAATAGAAACTAATATAATTCTGACACACAACTGATAAGATAAAAAATTGTGATGCCTTAAAAAAGGTATATCGTCGAAAACACTGTATTGTCAAGATCGGCAGGATTTCGGAGAAGGTACCAAAAAAATTGAATGAGGAGGTAACAAATTCTCAATAATAAACATATTGCTATGCTTTTTGAACCTATTTATTTCGATCATGGGCTTGGGTTTAAGGAGGATGGCAAGAGCATTTCTTATATGAAATTCGTACGTAGTCTAAGTTATCAACAAATAAAAAAGACTGATATTTTTGCAATTAATTTATTACTTAAATAGGTCCATTGATTAATTATTCTTAGTGTGGGTAGATGTTTAACATCCCTAACTAACCTCTCTCACAAAAGAGAATCCAGAGAGAGTACAAAAGGTGAGAAAAGCAAAACAAAAACTAATCTCGTTTACCTGCTTGCATGAAAAACGGAGAAAGAGCCAAAAGAGCGACCTGACTCAAGTCTCTTCTTCAGTCTTCACTAAATCGCGATCGCGAGAGGAACGGCATGCGGTCAAATAAATACAGATCCTGTACATCAAAACACAAAAGTCTTTGATAATATTTGTTATTTAACGTTTATAAATTAAATGGTGTACAATTAATAAGAAAATTGTGAAAATACATTCTGTTTAATCTGGTTTAATTGTTTTCCCAGATCTTTTTGTTTGCCAAATTGGTTGTGGCTTGGTGTTGGCCAAGAATTTTCAGTCAAGAACCGGTTTCTGCGCTTCCACAAATCCAGTGATTTAAAGAGAGAAATTAAGAGAATTTTAAAGCGGGACGTGAAAACATCAACAAACCCATTGGCAAAATAATAAACAATAACAAGTGTTAAAAGAGGGACATGGCAACACGTGCATTTCTGCATGAATGATTACAAGATTTTAAACATAAGTTGAGATATAATAACTAGATCATCATGAGTCTGCCCCAGTTGATCGATGATCTGCAGCGCCTTTCAGAGGATCAGGATAGTGCAGATGTGGTATTTATTTGCGGCAGAGATGAACGCATATATGCCCACAGGTTAATGCTGATGGCCCGGTAAGCTTTTAGTTGCAGAGAAAAAAAATCTATCGAATTTGTATACCAGCTTTTTTGTATCATACAAAATTATTATTAAAAAAAAATAAATTATAAAAGGTGTAATGTTTCGAGGTTTAATCCTTGCTTGATTATAGATATGTAATGACTTTTTAATTATTTCAAGTTTCCCTGTTCGTTTAAATGTTATTGTTTTTTTTTCTCTGTGGAAGAGGATGATTGGCTCCATTCGATTTCCTTTTTGGGACCTTACAATGTTGCGTGCTGGAATCTCGGGCATTCCAGTTGGTCACTCAATTAATTTGTGCTGTCTTTCCATTCACTCAATTCGATTGCAGTTGCAAGAGTTTCAAGACGGCCAAGAGAGGAGAAGTGTGCCGAATTCCCGGATGCACAGTTTCCCCAGCAGCCCCAGGAGCTTCAACTCCGACCACCATAAGATTGCCCCACGTTAATCCGGAACTATTTAGGCAGTTTATCTTGTATGTCTACACAGCAAAGGTATAAAAAAATAGTAAAACTACCACTTAATTATTCACTGTTAAAAAAATATTGTTTCCAGTTAGTCCTTCAGGACTCCCAAGTGTTTCAAATGATGATGATGGCCCAGGATATGGGCGTGGTTGAGCTTCGTACTGCCTGTGAGGATCACGTTATATCCACTTTATCGGTGGATAATGCTTGCACGTTTTTAACTGCTGTAATGGATATACACGAAAAAGCAGGTAATTAACTATTTTTAAGGTTAAAAATTCCCGCCAAATCATAATATACATTTGACATAAGATGTCAAGTAAAATGTAACAACATAAATAAGCCAAGAAACCGTTTTAGTATTTAAATAACAGCACCCAAAATCGATTCTGTTAAGCGCCAGCACACCACACCAGCAATCGATAGTAAAACCATATGCACGTTGTGTTATCAGAATCACGTAACACACGCAATGCATGTTTTTATTGCATTATTAAACTGTATATATTACAACTAATCAATAGCTGGCAGATTTAGTTAGTCCCGATCTGCCCCAAAATGCAGAAGCCGATGTTTGTCTCTAGAACTTGGATTGTTCGCGTTGTAATCTTTGGCCATACGTCCGAGAGATGAGGTTCCACGAGTCCATAAACCGGTCCATGCACATGGAAATGCATTTCTATATAGAATATTTGATAAGATACGTTTAAACTGCCATTTAATACTAGTTATTAGCTATATCTTGCCTGTTCCGAGGAATCGAGCGAGGTTCCCGGCTTATTGACACACTTTTTAAAGCACTTTTGCGTCATTTGGTTGAGCAATTCCTGGGCGTTCGCAACGGCAATCTGTTGCTTCACCTGATCCATAATTTCTCCCTTATCCACATTAGCCATGGCCATTTGTTTTGTTTGATAAAAACTATAGTTTAATTCAGCTAGGAAATTGGCAATACTTCAGCCACCAACCACAAAAACTTAACAGTGTGATTGCGATAGTTTATTTATAACTGTCTATCGATACAGCTCGTTAAAGTTTTGGGATGTGTGAAGAAACGACCTTATCGATTTACCTCTGTTAATCTTAATGTGACCGTTGTGTTTCGCAAATCGATATATCTGCATATCGCCTGGACAAAAAAAAGACGCCGGCAAAAAGAAGCGAAAATTTGTTTAAGTAAATTAAAGCCGCCAGAAATCAGCAAAAATGTCGTTCAAGGGCAATCCCAAGGTGCAGAAGGTGATGGTGCAGCCCATCAACCTGATCTTCCGATACCTGCAGAACCGTTCCCGCGTGCAAGTCTGGCTATACGAAAACATATCGCTGCGCATCGAGGGGCACATCGTGGGCTTTGACGAGTACATGAATCTGGTGCTGGACGATGCCGAGGAGGTCTATGTGAAGACCCGCCAACGCCGGAATCTCGGAAGGATCATGCTCAAGGGCGACAACATCACGCTCATACAGAACGTCAGTCCCACGAAGGACTAGGGGGCACAACTCCTATCCTGCGAATTCCACCTGCGACCGCTGCACGTCCTAAATATAAGTTAAACAAATGTAAAGCCGAAATCTGAAGACGAATGTTCAAATAAAAGGTAGACTTTTCTGTAAGCACAAGGTTTTTTAATGGGCTATGAAGAATGATAGAATGTTATTTCAGGAAATATGTATAAAATGAAGGTTTCAAAAGGTAATTGTTTGCCATGATCCTCTTTAAATAAATGGCTAGTAATACTAAACTTTCCTTTTTTTCAGGTGCCAAATGCGCTGCATCTTTTATGGAACGCTGCATCATCTATATAGGCGAAAATGCCAACGAGTGTGTCAAGACTAATGCTTTCCTCACTTTAACCAAGGATGCCATTATCAAGATTATTTCATCCGACTATGTAAGACAATATTAGTACACCAAAAAGTGCCCTAAGGCTTTAATTAAAACTATTTGATACACATTACTTTATGTACGATCAAATTTTCACAAAGTAATTCTGTGTATTCTAAAAAATTTACCACCATCAGTGAAAAATAACATTATTATCAAAGAATTACTTTGTAGTTGATGTCTTTAAAAATCATTACATTTTTTAGATGAAATATAAAGAAATTTTTATTTTTATAGATTTTAATAGTACACTCTTTTCGTTTCAATAGTTCTGTTTGGAGGAGGAGGAAGTGTGGCGCTGTGTTTTGTCGTGGGCCAAGTACCAGGCCGGAGTCACTCAACCCACTGCCCATTGGACTGAAGAAGAGAGAGCGCGAGTCTGCCAACATTTAAGCGGTGTAATGGGTCACGTACGTCTTTTGCTCATCGATAGCCAAGTTTTTGCGGAGGAAGTAGAACCTACAGGAGCTGTACCCATGGAGCTATCTTTAGAACGCTATCGCTATGCAGCGCTGCATGCTAACAAAATGATGGACAACGATAAAAGACTTCAGCCACGTTTAACTGTAGCGGTCAACATGTTTCCTGGTTCCCAAATCATAAAAAATGACAAGCTACCACTGCAAACTGTACTGAACAACTGGATTGGCGTACCCAAGCAATCTTGGAGATTGGTTTTTCGAGCATCCACACATGGCTTTGATTCTGGGGCCTTTCATCGTTATTGTGATGGAGTGGCTCCCTGCATGGTTATTGGCTTGGGATCGCATGGAGAAATCAGTGGTGGCTATACGGATGTGGCCTGGGCCAAAACAAGTCGGAAGGGTGGATACGTCCAGTCGGAGCGAGCTTTTCTTTTTACCCTGAACCCTGCCAATGGCGAACAGCCGGCCAAGTTCGACATAGTTAAGAAACCCTATGCCATCTGCTATCATCCCGAGTAAGTCTAATTTTGTTACTTGAATAAATTTTTTAACAAAACCAATCTTCGATGCTAAATTAGGCTAAGATAAAGCCACTTTTAGATAACAAAGAAAAATTAATTTCAACTAAAACTAATTTGTTTGAACATAGTCTTCCTTAAAAGATGTTTAAGTTTATAATTTCCTTTTTTATTGGCTTTAATGCATTATTACTTAAAGAATAATTATTGTATTCTACTTTTTAACTGAATCTTGTGTATTATATATAAATATTAATGTTCTTATAGTTGCGGACCCATTTTTGGAGCTGGAGCGGATCTACTCATCTCCAGCAACTGTAATACCAACATGGATTCCTATTCAAACCTTCCGCATTCCTACGATGGAGCCAATGCTGCTCACCTAACGCTCTTCGGGGACTACAACTTCACCATCACCGACTACGAGGTATACACCATAGCCTCGCCAGGTGGAAGTGCCAATAGTGGAGCAAGTAATAGCAGCAATCACAACCAGAACCTTTCGGCCAATGGACAAGCTCCTGGAGTGCCCACAAAGGCAAAATACGATAGGTACTAGAAATCGGAAAGAAAACTTGTAGTTGCATCAGCTATGCTGGCAATAAAACTATTTCCTTGAACGATCCAAACACTCGAATATTGTAATCCCAGATCCGCAACGGCTGGGCTAATGGCATTAGGTGTCGGGTTCATGACTCCGCCCAAGGTAAAAACCAGAAATCGAAAGGTAATTAATGAATTGTTATATAAAGAAAACTTTTTTGGCGGCTGTCTTGACTTCCATCTAAATGTTAAGAATCGAACCAAATTAATTAACTGGTTTCCCACTTGTATGTAAAGCTGAAAGTGTTTCAAAAAAAAAAAAAACTAGAGGGCAGCTCGAGGAGTTGATAGTTTTCGAAGAATAAATACTTACACGTGGTGCCAGGTACCAGTGCTGTCACTTCAGCTTTTTCCTAGAAAACTTCATTTTGCTTAACAAATTAATGGGAGGTTTGGTCTATTTTAGTGGTTTATTTAATTTTAAAATTAAGTTTTTTATTACTTAAACATGCAATTTTTAAAGTAGTATTGAACAAAATTCTAAAATAATTGTTTTATTGAACTGAAATAAATTATTTGTTAAGTAATATTATGAAAACCTAATTTAAATTGAAATATCATAGTATATACTGAAATTTTGATCTATAAAACATTATTTATGTTGCTTTCCAAATCAAGTGTTGTGGAATTTACTCAAAACCAGTAAAACCTCACATTTTACCTAATTTATTTAAGCCGCCAAAACAATATATTTCCCTTCGGTGCGTTCATGAACCCCACATTGTTACAGATATAGATCTGTCTATATAATAGTTATGAATGTGCACTTGAACCTGGTCCACACCTCTCGAATAGTGGAACAATTGACAAAGAAAAACAAATGCGTAAATGGCAATTTCTGTTGCTGTATCAATTCACTTCAGTTGGGCTTAAGCCATAACAATAATAATGTCGGCTAATGTTGAGTTATAATGAAATCTGCGGCAACACCTCCCTAACAACCCCGATCCACGTCGGAAATGCTGAAGTTGCTCTCGACTGGTTTTCAACTACTTTTAAAAATGCTTCTGATAAATTGGTTCTCGCTCTAAATTGGTTCTAATTAAAGCTATTTTATGCTGATCGAATCGATCAACATCGATGGTTTGGGCCCCCACATTTTTGTCATTCGTTTCGACCTGGGGATTGGAGATCCAAAACCCCGAAAAAACTACCTAGAGAGAACCCTCGACAATGGCAGCCAGCAACAAACACTTGATGTTTGTGGCGTTTTATTTTATTGTGGCTGCACAACGGATTGGCAGTTAAAATTTGTTAACGACTTAAGGCCACAGCTCGAGAGCCACCTTTCGATAAGGTCTACAAATTGTTGCCGGCGCTGTTTCACTTCTCTTTGACAGACGACCAATGGCCCGGGGGCGATTTTATATCCAGGTCCAGGCGCTAGAAGGAATGTCATTTGTAGATCTCGATTCAGTTCGATTTCGCGTCAAATTATTTGATTGTCGAGTGGATTTGACTTGGATTTTGGAGCCATGGATTCGTTATGCTCCATGTGCTGGCAGCAAAATCCGACCAAGAAGTTTCAATGTCTGTCGCATGAAAAGGGAAAGGCAAAAAAATATAACTAACGCTTAAAGCTGTTTTTTTTTTCGTTTGAACTGAACTATGTGCAAACTTGTTCTGGCCTTATGAAATCGGTTCGGTTCAAATTGCATCTGGGTTTACAGCATGTGAGCAGAGAGACTAGGGACGGGCAGGAAGTGCCTGTAGATGAATCACTAGCTTCCTCAAATGGGAATAACTATAAAGTGTTTTTATTGGCTCTTCTGGGCAAACGGAAGAAAACCAGGAATTCATTGCCAATCGTCTTTAACTTTAAAATATATATAATTTAGATTAGGTTTAAAATAAACAAATTACTAGGCATATTTACAACAAAAAAAAGTTTTTAACTTGACGAAACCCCAGCTCCATTTTATTTGCACCTAAAGTTAATACAATAAATTATTTGTTTTTTCTGTTCAAAAAGTATCTATTTACATTTATTTGTAATTCAAAAATTTCTTTTTGTTGCTTGACTTCCATCCCTGGCTTTTATGAAAATATGCGTTATTTGTTTGGGCTTGGTCAGCAGCAGCCCCCATAGAACAAAGGCCTGGCTATTAACCATGGCCATGGTTATGGTTATGACTTGGTCAGCACTCAGCATTACAATGAGAAAAATACCCAATACCAATTCTTCCTTATTTACTTTCGTAGAATAAGATCTCAATCAATTAATCATTACAATTTATTTAAAAGAAGCAGTTAAAAATATATTTTAACATTTTCTACATTTACGTTTTCAATAAACAACTGAAGTCTACTTTAATCTTATAGAGAATGCCGTTTTTTATATAAACCAAAAATTAACCAAAAGGCTTACCTTTTTTTAAGGTAGACGTATGGAAATAATTGGTAAATATATAAAAGAAATGTTTAATTGGCTTACAATAAAAAGGACGGTTAAAATATAGTTTTTAAATGTAAGAACGGGAATATTAGTTATTGATACCACAACGTCTTAAGATTCAGACAATTATTAAAATAGTTTCCTCAAAATTTTAGATTACATTTTTCTGTCTATTGTTAATATTTTCTCTTAGTGTTTGGGCAGACATCTGGCCAAACCCAAGTGTTACACTTAAAGTGACTTATTTGCATGTAAGAATGCGAGAAAGGAAAAGTGGCTCAAGACACCGCTGGTGACCCTGAAAAGGGGACTTGGGCAAAAAACCACCCACAGGCCAGTCAATTAATGCATATCCCCAATCGGAAAAATTCCCCACTCGGAACTGATTCATCCATCAAACAGGAGGCATCATTAAAGGGCGTTTTTCCCAGAAAAAATCATGCCAATGATAAGATCATAGCACGCTGAGGCTTCTATATCCATTAGTTGTATCCGTTTCCGGCTCTCGACAGGCGGGGAGCTCCAGTTCGAAAGGTGCTAATATGCAAAGTGGACGCATTGAACCGAGATCTATGACGTAGACAGGTCTACGCCTTCATCGATTAGTTGATAAACACCGAGTCATTCATTCATAGCATCATCGCCATCATCCATTTGCTCATCGCCCGATGCACTCGACATACTTCAGACTACCCCCACATAACCCCGCTGACCCCGCCCTGTAACGACTAGCCACTGTTTCTCCTGCCGAAGAGAGGGTATGAGATAACGACGGCGATATGGAGAGAACCCTCTGGAGGGTCCCCCATTATCCGCTCTCTTACGCTGGCAGTCTGGTGTGTAACGACTCGACTCGCGATGCTCTTCACAACCAGTTTTGAAAGCCCACTTTAAATATACTTTTGCTTTTCATTGCCTTCGATGTGAAATAAAACCGCGCAGACTACGATGTCGGTTTGGTTACTATGATTAATATGCGTTTCTCGGCAAAACGCCACTAAAAATGTATATCAACCGCTGATGAGTCGGCCGTTCGACGCATCCAGGCATTGACCTAGGTCACAAATTCCAGCACAAGCGGGGTTCTCATTAACATTAACCTAATCCCACTTTGAGGGATGCCGTCGGCACTTGCCGAAGAAGATTCCCTCGGTTAAGGTATAGCAGAGGTATACTCAAATTACTATTTGACAGTTTAAAGCTTTTCACTTTAAAATCTGGTTACTGTACCCTCTTGAATTAGGAGATCTTAAAAACAGCCAAACATTGTTATTTTTTTAATTACCAAACTTCAAAGGAATTTTAGATCATTAACTACTTAAAATGGTTTTTAAAATATATCAAACCAGCTTTTAACTATGTCATAAGATTAAAACCCCTGTCCTTAATCAAAGCATTAAGCAAACAAAATAAAATACCTGAATGAATTTATGCGGCAGCTGTCAACAACTTTCAGTTCACTTTATAAAATCCCTCTGGTGAATTTTATCAAAATACAATTTATTAATTTATTAGGGTAATTATTTTCCATAAATAACAAATATTTCACCGACAAATTCTAATGGTTGCTATACTTCATATTCCATGTTTATGAATTATAATTGGTTAGTTTAATTTGTCGAAGCATTTGTATCCATCTTCAAGAAGTCGACTAAGCAATCCTAGAAATTATCGGGAAAAATAAATTGTAATTTTGTTTTGAGTCAGCGGAAAATAAATATTCCTTAAAATATTTTCCTTAGTTCAAGTCCCTTTTACAACAATTTAACTTAAACCTTGTACAAAAACATGTAGGAAAAAATTTTTTAATCCCAAGTTCTAAGGGCATTCACAGTTCGATTGACTCAGTATTGATTATTTTCCGGTTTTGTTTTATTTTTCGATTTGCCATTCAGCAGAAACCGAAAAACGAAAGATAAAAACGCAGCTCAGTTCGCCGAGCGTTCGCTCTTAGCCAGATTCAGAGATTGAGTTAGCTGAGCGCAATGTTTCAAGTCGAAGATTTTGAGATTTCGAGAGTTGAAACATTTTCCACCCATTCAGTTTTTTTTTAAGGCGCACGGCGAGAACGGCTCAGTCTCGATTGTCAGCTTGTCGTGAATGGTTTTTTAGCACACACGCGGACCGGGGACCGGAGCTAAAAATCGCGCTTAAGTTATTTAATAACAACAACATCGTTTGCACATATCTCTATATAAATATACGACATAGCCCGCTGATCGAAGCGTTTGTGTGTGTGTTGTTATTCTGTGTTTGCCAGTGTGTGCTCGCCATTGTTGCCAGGGGTGGGAAGTGGGAGCTGATCTGACTGATTTGTTATTTTTGCATAAATCAATTTCGAGACCGCGCGCCATCAATTTCCGTGCGGTGATCTGTTCTAGATGATGTCGCATGCGCGGCCGGATCAAGTTTGTGGCCTAAGTCTTTCGTTTGCGAATTGAGAGCGCCAGCATATTTCGCACCTGCCATGGCTCTGACGAATTTCTCGCTGCCTTTCGGCGCCCTCGGCCAGCCGTGGGGAGTCACCCTGGCCCCCCTGCATCCTATCCACCAGTTGGCCAGCAACACCAATAATCTCCTCTACTCCCCGGCGGACCACCAGCAACAGTCTCCGGCGGAGGCGGCTGCCGATCCGGAGTACTTTAAAAATAATCCCTACGCGCCCCCGCAATCGGGAGGCTATCAATATCAAAATAGCGCTGGACGCCGCAAGCAGAGTAATGCCTATTTGCCGCCAACAGCGCCGAATACGGTCCGGAATTCGGTTTACCACATCCAGCAGGTGCAGCAAACGCAGCAGCAGCAACATCAGCAACAGCAGCAGGATCAAAATGATAACAGTGTGTCCTTCCAGAGCTCCAGTTCCAGTTCGAGGTCGAGCAGCACCACGGGCCAAAGTTCCATCCAGCTGACACAGACTCACGCGAGTGGCCGGGGTCCGGCGGAGGGGTCGTATACGCGATATCCCGGACAGCAAGCCCAACCGCAGCAGCAACAGAAGCAATATTTCAATGCCCATGGCAGTGCCAGTACCACTTTTACTAAGAACAGCGGCAGCTTTAGTATTACCAGCTTTGGCAGCAGGCAGCAGCAGGCTCCATCGCAGCAGCAACCACAGCCGCAACAACCACCGCCATCGCAGCAGCAACAACCGCCACCTGCACCTCCGCCCCAACGTCCTAGGCAGGGCAAGCCGGAGGCCCAACCTGCCCAGACCTACGGTGTTGCTCCGCCGGAGAACTACCCGGAACGAGCACCGGGCTTCACAAGGGTTCAGGCTGGCCAGGGATCCAGGACTCAGGTGCACGCCGTGCTCGACTACGACGTGGAGGAGGGCGAGGAGGATGAGGAGGAGGACGGAGAGGAGGAGGGACAGTACTACGAAGGTCAGGAGAAGGGTGAGTACCTAAAATCTCAGAACAAGGTTTCCAATAACAAACATCAACAATAAAGATGAATTTATGTATAATAACAAGCGAATGGGTCTTAGGGCGATCAATGACCTTTTTACCAAGGGATAGTTTAACATCGATATTTCTTTATAGCTAGATTGGTCTTTTATTAAAATTATATTTATCAAATTATATCCTTGCATCTGAATCTATTTTTTCATATTATCTTATCTTTATCTTACCACCCACAAACTAGGGTTATACCGTTTCTTGAACCTATTCTATATATATTTCTTTAAGAATTGTGTTATCAAACAATGTTTTAAATAAAATAGTTTACCCAAATTGAAATACATAAACCTTTATTAAAAATCGAGTATATGTTCTTCTGTTACTTTACAAATAAAAAAAATTATAGAGTGCTCTTAATATCTCACGATTTGTAAATGCATAAAGACTTAAATAGACTATATTCTAAGTAGAATGCCATGTTTATTAAGTACATGTTATTTTAACTACCCCACGAAAAAAAGTGATTCATATGAAACCTAATTAAATACATTTTAATTGCATAATAAATTAAGCAACAAAACCTTTTGAAAAGAATGAGCTTTATAGAACTTCAGTTGAAGAGCCCGAGAATTACTTCCTCATTCACCAGAAAGAAATTCCCGAGACTCCTCCGAGTACATTCCATTCCGAGCGTTTCCTGATTCAATGCGATGGTAATCTGAACAATTAACAAATAAAAACAAATGTTGGTGGTTATATTTGTTTGCTTATTTGTCAGAAACAAGTGTATTGTGAATTTGGAACATGTAGATTTGGTGATGATAAGCGGAGAAGAGTCCCACGTCTGCACACGATCCGAAAGACGGGCGCTGAAAGTCATGTTAATTTGTGCGGTTTCGCCTGCTACTTGTTTTTGTGTATCTTTCCAATTGAGAGCAACTTCTGCACAAGATCGCGGAGCAACTATAACAAATAACAAACTTGTGGGGTAAACAAGCGCACAAGCAACAAGCGGCGGCGACAAGGTCAAAGGTCTACAAACCGATCGGCAAGGTCACTTTCAAGACAGTAATGGCCAGTGTTTGACTTTTATAGCAACTAACAGGCTGGCACGCATCACGATTTATGTTGTGCCGGGGTGTATCTGTATCTGTATCTGTATCTGTATCTGTACCTGGCTATCTGTATCTAACGGCTCGAGTATCTCCGTATCTGCCGTATTTGCTGCCCTTGTTGTCCTCATGGAAAACTGTCAGCGGCGCTTCACTTTTTTTGGATGTTTCACTTTCGGCCTAGCTTGTGGCGCCTCTTTGTTTCTGCCACTCCATCTCAATCTGCGAGTTGTCGAGGCATTAGCCAGCCAGCAACCTGCCAGACTTCAGACCTCAAGTACTCAACTCGGTTACGGGGCTATTATGCAAGAAGTCGCGTTTCAATCTCCACAAATGAGGGGCAAGGGGCCGAGCTCATGAACCAGCTCTCATATGAAGACGTGCGCACGCAAGACCCAAGCTCAGATACTAGTTTGGTTTGCTTTTTGTCTCGGCACTCAAGTACTCAACACTGGGTTTTCACCTTTGTGCAGGCAAAAAAAATATCATAAAAGAAGAGATCTCAACCAAAGATCAGTGCACAGAAACAAAGAATCTATTTCACAACATGGCAAGGAATTTCTCATTAGCTGAAAGTGACATGATTTCGATACACAGAGAGAAAAAGTTTAGCAAAAATAAATATTTAAATTGAAATATGTATAAATATCCTACACAATCAAAAATTTAAATTTCGAAAACTAAATTTATTAAAGTGGAGTAATCCTTAGATTACTTTTAGAACTTGCATAGCAAATGTTTGCCACATTGTCAAAAAAAGCATAACATTTGTTTTTTATAAATATTTAGGTATCTTTGGCAATCAGAATATATCCTTCTCGCTTAATATAAAATTCATCTATTTGCAGTTTATGTCCTTAAATTACCTCTGCTTAAAACAATATTTTTTTGTTTAAGAATATCGTAAAATTTATGATTTATCAGCTAAAGCAATTGCTTAAAATTCAGTCTTAAACTTCTAAAAAAAGATTGTTAACAAATAATAATCAGTGTCTTTATTAACTTTAATATCCAAATTACTAAAAACAATATTAAATTTAATGTAATAAACATTTCTCCCAAGTTTTTTTAAAAACTGACCTCATTATATTTACCCTTTTCATAGTTTCAGTTATAGTTTTAGATATATTTTTGCTCCGTGTGCTCCCTTTTTTCGCATTCTCCAACTCGTTTTGCATCCTGCAGCATGACTATAAAAGGGAAAGTTTCTGTCTGCGCCCAGATCCGGATCTGGGCATTACAAATGCCAGGCAGACATGAAATTTATACATGCAAGTGTCAACTGCAGTGCGATTTGTATGCAGACACCGAATGCACTTGCAGTTGCAATGGCAGCTCTATTTGGGTTTAACCGGGCTGATTAATGCAGTGACAACGGCCACGGATCGGATACGACAATTCGCCCGTCCTTGCCATGAATCACCGCAGAAACAGCAGCCATTTAAAAGCACTCCAATTTCAATTTCAACTTCATTTTCGAATCCATTTACATTCCGTTCACAGATAAAGCGAATAACAATCAGATGCCCACGGTGACGCCCATCCAGGGACCGATCTTCTTGAAAAATGGGACGGTGCCGGTGGTGCCGCTCTTTTCCTATCCAAAACTCAACAACGGATCGTTCCTACAGATTCCGGTAAGTGTGGTGTGGCGCGGAAAGTGATGGTGGGCGGTACGAGGTTCTGAGCACGCGCGCACTTTAATTGGCACACTGAGAAAAACAAAGTTCTGAATATAAAGTTAGCTCAAGATATTAAATAGAAATCTTTTCAAAAACGAGCAGGCGTGTGAAAGAATTTTATTTAGAGATTAGATATTAAAAACAATTTTTTTAACAGAGAATTTAAGAAATACAATTTAACGTCAATAAAAATATGTTTAACCACATTTTTGAAAAACGAATACTTATTTCTTAAAAGTTAAATATTATAATATATATTATATTATATAATTTAATTTAAGTACAATTTTAAAAAGCTTATCTAGAATGACACTAGTGTACTACTACAGTAGTGTCGAGTGGCAACTAAATTACACATATGCATGAACGCTTTTGGTTCTAGTTTTTCCGTTTTCCTCCAGTGTACTCTCGATATCGATCGAGTTTGTTCATTTGCGGAAATAACTTTGACGATTTTGTGTTTCATTTCAGTTTTATTTTCTTTTTTTTTTGTTTTTTGCGCACGAAGGTCGTGCGAGTTCGTTTCATTAAGAGGTGTGATGATGTTGATGACGACGAAAGAAGAGAGAGATTGATTTTGAAAATCGGCGCATGGCGATTCGAGGAAGCTTAATCCCAAAATCCAACTCTATACTTCACTCCCCGCCTGACCAACACCGCTCTCATTTTCGAATATAAAACGAACTTTTATGTTTATGACTTACTTGAGTCATTTTCACACCCCGGCCATAATTTGTTATGGTCGCCGAATCAATCTGAATCTCAGTACCCCGCCGAACCTCAATTGCCCACTTCAATGCTAAATACTTATCGCTCGAACATACTATATATCTCTGTATTTCTGACCAATTTAGATCTGGTGGACGGCTTTGTCGGTGGCTTTGGGATTGGATGTGCGGGGCGATGTCATCAAGGGAGTGCCATGCATTAAGCGATATCATCAGCTGTTCTGTCCGACGGCCGGCAACAGTTATCCCATGTAAGTGTAACTATTGTTCTCTATTTTTGGGATATGGGAAACCCCATATAAAAATGGTATTTCCCTTGAAACAGTCGTAAAACTTTGATTATAGCCACATTCCCCTGATTAACTCAAGGATGTTTGCTTTTCTGTGGTTTTCTTTTACTTCACGTCTTCGCCAAAAATCTGATCTGAATCACTTTTAATCCGGCTGTCCGTTCTAAACTGACATAGTTAACGGTTCTCATTAGCATAGGCACGTAAAATTACTTTGAATTTCACCATGTTCAGCCTCATAAACCGAAAAAATGTGGCTTAAAGTTTAGGTTTTTTCTATTCTAAAGTTCATTAACATCAAGTCCTAACACTTCGAGCTAACTAGATATTTCTTTAATTGGTTAATCCATTTTCCTAATAAACTCAATTCATAAATATTTATATTTACCACTGACCTTATCTTATCACCTTAACAGTCCCTCTCTAATTAATTTTTGCTTCATTAATTAACTAAATGATTATTGGTTTTCAAGATCAATCTCTCTGGTGAATACCCTAATTTGGCAAAGCGTTTTGGCGAAAGAATACAGATTTGAATATACTACAAAATTTATTAATATCATAATTATAAAAATAAATTCTTTAAAGCTTTTTTTTATGGCCTACAACTGAGGCCGTTGATTCATCAACACTTAATTTCATTCAATAAAAATTTCTCAAAATATATATTTTATGTTAAATTATTTTTGACTTTCCTTATAAATAATTTACATTACCTTATACAAGTCTAATACAAGTTTTTAATAAAATTCTAGTGATAAGATCGAACGTTTCATAGACGACAACAAGGCTCTGATGCGAAGGATGTATGGAGACTTTGAGATGAATATGGAGGGTCCTGGCGGAGGAGGTGGACGACAACAAGCCAAGGTGCGAAAGCGTCGCTTTATAGACGAACCGGATATATTTATTCCACCCGGAGCATTTGCGGCAAATGCTGGGGAAACCGTCGAAGCCGGAGATAGTTATTTTGGCCAACTGCGGAAAAAACGTCAGGCTGCGGGAGGAAGTCGAAATAGAGGCGGAGCTGCCGGAGGTAGTGGCAATGGGAACTCTAATGCCAATAGGCCACCGGGCAATGGCAATGCCAATTCGGGCACTGGAAGACTCGATGCCTGCGAGTCGAAGATTGAAATTGTCACACCCTATTGGGCATCGAATTCGGCGGGGAAAATCAGGGCCATTGTGAATACACAACATTTCGAACAGGCCATTCATCAGGAGGTGTGCAGGTTAGTACTATGATATTATTGACAATAAATTGCACCTGATTCGAATTCAATTGTTTAATAGAACTATGTCCAATTTATACCCATACCTATTTACATTTGTAATAATGTATTCAATTATTTCCAGCAATACCCAAACTCCCCGATGTGAGGGTGAATGTGGATGCGAGCAGAAGTACAAATGGCATCGGTTGCTCGCCTACGATCCCGATAACGATTGCAAGGGCATTTTTATGGATTGGTTCCTGTTTCCTTCGTGCTGTGTCTGTAGATGTAATCCCTAGATCACCTGACTCTGAGCAATTAATAAATATGCAATTGATATATGTAATTGAGACAAGTAATTGTAGGTAGAATGCCACTGAATGTATTTTAGTTGTTGTTAAGTAGACCTTACGTAAACCCTAATCGGTAGCTCTAGTTAAGATCGATTCTACATATAGTTAAGTTTTTATTCGAGCCATATGTATATCTCTCCACTTTTCCGTCCTTCTTCCTCCATCAACATGCGATATTTCTCAACTTCCATTATTTGTTGTACGGTAATTGTAAACGTAATTGTAAAACGATTCAAGTGAATAAAGTCTACGCAAATATAAAATACGAAATTTATGTTTCAGAACACTGGATAATAACACTTCCATTAGCACATACGTAATAAAATATCAACATTGTAAGACATGAGCCTCTTATGAAATATCTTTTCTGCTACACCCATTCGACGATATAGAAAACTGTGCAGTGAAACTAAAAGCATTATGGTCATCGATTCGTATTTGATTTTAAAATAATGATTATTGGTTGTCCCTCTAGTGAATCACAGATTTGAATATACTACATAAGAATGTTCAAGGTAAAAAAGCATTTGGGATTACTAATTTAATTGACTACGAAAATGTATCACCCTTTTTTGGTATGCGCTTAATTTTTATCGAAGTTTTGACTTATTTGGAAAAATGTTTATTTGAAAACCAAAAAAGATCGACATTTTAAGAGCTGCAACTTTTAAACACCTAACTAATTGGATTTTCAGTAAGTCTATGAGTTTTAAAGAAGTTTGATAAGTTGCCTTTTTAGAATACTTACTTACTAAATTTATAAATAACATATTCGAAAAAAAATATTCCTGTGGTATAATGTAAATAAGTCATAAAATGTATTTAGTTGGACAAAAAAAGAAAGGACAGTTAATGGAAACTAAGGCCTTGCCCAATAACAACGAGACAAAATATAAAAAATAAAATTGGTAACAAGACTGAATATCTCTATATTAGTCATTTATTTTGTCGAGTAGTCAGTTAAGCCCCATGATTTATTAGATTGCCATATGACCGAAGGGGAAACCCCAAAACAATTATTGACTTTTTGATAAATTTCAACAATGAAGTTGCTAAAATTGGAATGCTATAGTTAACTGACACAATAAACAAACAAAGGTAAATAGCTAACCTCTTATAATATAACAGGAAAAAAAAAAATTATTTTTGCATCGGCCGGGAATCGAACCCGGGCCGCCCGCGTGGCAGGCGAGCATTCTACCACTGAACCACCGATGCTGCATAACGTTAATGTACCGAGTTCTGCATTACCAACTTCATATTTGGAAAAGCTCCCTGAAGAGCTTTCGTAAACTTTCAGCCTAGGGTAACGCAAAGAAAATCTCCCAACGAATTGAATTCATTATTTCATATCCATGAGTAATGGTTTTTCATTTTTTTTTTGTTTTAATAATATAACCAAAACACAATGAGCATATACAATTTTTGAGCTATTCCATAAAGCGTTTATATGCGAAGGGTCATAAATTAACCAGCAGCTGAATGGGGGGGTGAGTGTGTGTATGAATGGGCATATTGCTACTAGTATTTTTCGTCCACTCGGAGTCGTAAAAACCCTTGCCCCGAAACTGGCCCACTTCCCATGCCCGTCACGTATTCAATCACAGCAATGGCTACACAAAACTGCGCTATATCAAAAATTTCGGTCTATCGGTCGTGCGTGGTATACAAATGGGTCCATTTCACCGACACCACAGATAGCTAGCCACATATCCCAGCAGCAGCGGAGAGGAGGACCATAACAATTGAGTGCTGGGCTCCAGTTAACGTTAACCAAAGTCGTAGCCCGTGGACTGGGACATTTATTGACGCCCGCAATGTCAACAATTGCAGCCATGACGACGGCAGTCGCATCGGCAACAGTACTAACAACAACTTCAAGGGAGATAATTAAGTACTCGCCCTAAGGGATACCCTGTAATATACACTCATAGGTTAATAAATACATAAATACAATATGGACAAGCAATAAATCAAATAAGATAATTGATAATGTAAAATAAGGTCGTTTTGAAATGTATCTAATCTTGTTTATATTAAGTATGCTACAAATTGGTAATACGAACTTTTATATTGTCTCAATACCTATTTTCCAAATATTTTAAAATTTTTCATTACAAACCAAATTAAAGTTTAATGATAATTAACTTCAATAATATTACTGTTTTTTTTTATTTTGTATTAAATATAATTTGTATAACTATTTCCAGAATTTTTAATAGATTTATAAAAACAAAATTCCAAATGATAAATAAAAGGAGTTTTTTCGAAAGAAGTAATTTAAGATGCAAAGAATTAATATTACATTATATTGCACATACATAGCCACAACTATTTTCTTGCATAGATGTTTTAAAATAACCTAATGGAAAAATCACAACGTATTAAGTTGTGTTGGAAGCTAAAAATAGTTATTTCTTCAGATCAGTGTTTCATTCAATATGCCCCATTGATGCCTAAGATCCCATTACCGCAATGACAAGAACAATCCACTAAAACCCGCAGCGAGTTAACCATGAAAGTTGGCCAAGCGAAACCATTTTGCCAGATGAAGCTGGCTGTTTTGCGATGCTGCGAGTGTTGGGCGTGCTGGGTGTGCCGGGCGTATACGTATTATGATGATGACGCCCGAGAACAGGACAATAGAAATGCGAGGCCACACAAACACGATGGCACACAGCCACAGCCACAGCCACATGTAAACGAGTGTGTGGTGACAATGATATGGATGTTGTTGGTACTTTCGTTGGCTTTTCCCGACGCTGCGCGCGCACTAAAAGTGAAATGGGAAATAAGAGCTCGGCTTCGGAGACAGGACAAACCAAAGGCTAATTCGAATTCCCCATAGGGGCGTAGCGCATTCGGAGGGCGGAATATCCGGGCCGGAGCGGAAAGCGACGGCGGCGTCCTGGCGTCATCTCCAAATCTCGGCCAGTGCCGCAATTTTGGCTATAAATACAAATGTCGGCACGCAGCTTGGCTTAAACTTACATTGTTATCCTAGTTCTCAACATCGCTCGGGGTCTCCTCAACTTTTCCCGAACAAAACACATTCGCTACGTGACGTTGTTAACACGGAATCCACCCACTCAACGCAGGACAACTCCGAAACTCCACCGTAAACCACAAACTGTGAGTCACAGCGGGCTGCAGGTGCAGATGTACCAGTTGCCATCGCTTCTGGTTTCAGTGTCAGTGTCATAATCATAAATTTCGAGCATTGTGTAATCCCCTTTCGATTGGGTAAACAAACCAAGTGGCTCTGCTGCAGTTTTATTATTGCGCAGCCAAGCAATCGCGAATTAAATTTAAATTGAATTTTTTTCCAAGCGCCTTTAAAGAGAGATATGAAAGAACATATAATTTGTAAAGCGGAAATTTATGAGGGGGAATGAATTCATTCATTTAAATTAAATGTAGTTGTGCATTAGTTTACATATAAAAGCTACTGGGATAAATTTTAATTACACATTGATAAGGAAATTCAAAACCAGACTTACAAAAATTAATAAAATATTCCCGAGAAATAAGCTCAAGATAGCATCCTTTCAAGATTTATGAGCACATTTATAGAAATTCCAATGGATAAATCTCCGTCAGTCGTCAGAAATAATTTATCTGTTACTCAATTCACTGCAATCCGTGAGTCTGTGAGATGCATTTCTGGTTTGCCTTTATTCCCAGTGCGACCCCACCTCAAAAGCCATCTCCATTGCCACGCCAATTACACATCCTGCAATTGTCTTCGTCTTTTGCGAGGGGTTAACACACTTGCCTCTCTCTTCACAGCCCGCTGGCACGCCCATTCGACTGCAGACCCCAGAACGCCCCCCACCAGGACAACAATGAGAGCGGCAAGGAGTCAGGGGCTAGGAAGTGGAACTGGACACAGGTGGCTCTTGGTTTGGATGACGGTGCTGCTCCTGGTCGTCCCACCGCATTTGGTCGACGGCCGCTACCTGCCGACAAGGTCGCATGGCGACGATTTGGACAAGTTGCGTGAACTGATGCTGCAGGTGAGCCAGTCTACACTGGGCGAAAAAGTGGGCTAAGCTAAGCTAATATTTTATAAGGAGCTTTTTAAATTCACAGACTTTTATTTAATTTTTTATGGTGAAACTTTGTGACCAAATTAAAATGTAACATTGTGAAAAGGCAATTTAGAATTACTTATAAAAAAATCAATTACATTTGCTAGTTAAATTTAAAGATAATTTTCAATAGGACCAAAAAATATAAAAAATTATTTTAGTTACAATAAATAGTAATAGTTAATTTTCATTTAATAGATGCAATGCCTAAATATTTTATTTTAAGAAACCCAAAAGTTTTTCATTGTTTCAAGCAAACTAAAAATACACAAAGTATTTTAAACATGTTTTATATGAATTCTGTTAATAATATATATTTTTAAAGTTTTTTAATTTCTTGTATTGTTTTTTTAGCCAAATTAGAAATTTAAGCTGAGTATTTTCAATATGTTTTATATAAGTTATCTTAACTCAACTTCAATTGTACACATTTGTTCAGTCCTTAATTTTTTTGTATACATACAAAAGTTGTGTAAACAATTACTCCTAAATGGTTTATGCCATAATTAATGGAGTGTCGAATTATGCTGTTATCGAGTCACATTAATCTTCAACGCATTAATGAATCTCCAAGTAAAAATGATCCATATTTTAGCATTTCTTCAGTGTATCTGAGTGAGTGTGCGATGGGTATCTTCAGTCGAATTTTGTGCATTGGCATTTTTGGTGCGCTGTCAATATAATTAACTAAATGAAAAGAGAGCCAAAGCGTGGTATTAAGTTGCAATTATGTCGCCAATTATTGAGGTTTTATTTTCGACTTGTTTTTGTTTTCGTGCGTTTCTACCTTTTGCTTTTTTTGGTGTTTTATTTTTGGTCACTTATGGAGTGGAGTAGAGTGGAATTGAATGGAATGGAGGTTGCGTCATCGTCTCGGGTATAAGGTTACACAGGTCCCTCGGCCACGGCCCCAATGATTCCACCGAAGATTCCTGCTAACCGCACCGCCTCTCTTCCTCCCTTTCTTATTCCAATCTCCTGGCGCTGCGGTTTCTTGTGCGTCTGCAAACCATTTCAGAAATATTTTTACATATTTCGCAAGCGTTTCTTCTTTTTCCCCCATCGATGTAGGAGCCTGCTCGGCTACAATCGCCAACTTGGCCAACACTTGTATGCCGGGCTCCTCATCTTTTGCACAATTTTTGATTCGCCGCCACCGCTGCAGTTGTTGTTATTTAATGTGCCTTTTTTTTTTGGCACAGTTTCCTGTTCTTTTTCGCAATCAAGACGCAAAAATGCGGCTCAACTAGGAGGGTAGGAACCAGGGGATCGGGGGTCACAAGGGGATCCGGCGAGGAAGCCCCACTTAAGCCTGTGGATGTGCACAAATCCAACGCAGCTGCACGTCTGCGAAAACTTCAGCCTACAAAATGTTCAACTGCAACTGTTTGTCTACCATCGAGTTGAGTATTTGTAGCAAACAATTTCTGCACTGGGACAAAATCATATAAAATATAGTAAATAGAAGATATGGGTTCTGAAAATTTTATATTTTCAAAAAAACCACATGAAATGGGATTCTGCTGCGGAAAAATAGTATGCAAATCATTTGCTCAAATAAATATGATGCGAGGGATAATACACAACATCAAATAAAATTTAAAATGTTAATTTTTTTGTATACTATAAATAGGTAGATCTTAAACAATAATTAAGAAGTTTTGCTTTTTAAGCGACAAACCAATTGGAAAACACCCAATTGCTTTTTCCAACATTTTCCTTCAAAGAAGTATATTTTTATTGGTATATTCAAATGTTCAGAATTTATTAGTTATATATTTGTACTGATATGTAAAAGTTGTTTGCCAATATCTAATAATAATTATAATGGGAATCTATTTAAGTTAACCAAGCTAGCATATTTTTTTTTGAGAATTTCAATGGTTGTTTTCTTAAGAATATTAAATTAAATAGCTAGGAGGTATATTATGTTGTGTAATAATCACAAGGTTTTGACTTACAAGCCCCAAAATTCATTACGCATGATATGACATGATAGGGCAAAATTACAAATTAAGGAATGAAATATCATCGATTTCCGGTCTAGGCTTCTAGGTTACACTGTTTTTCCTGAATGTAGCTGCTCTCAACCCCTTGGCAGACTCTTTTCTGAGTCATGGTCCCTGCAAATCGATAAGTCGCTGACGTGCGGCGCAGACAAAGACCATCGACCAAAAACCAAGAGCAGACCATGTTTGGACAAAAAAGCGAGCACAAAAATAAAGCACAGCAAAAAGATGAAGCCGAGTAAAAGAAAAGGGAAATCAAATGTCAAATAGCAAATAATGACGGTGACGTGGTCGCACTGCCGCTGATGAAGGTTGACTTGACTACGTCACTCTGAAGACAAGCGACAGTTGGGGCAAAAATAAGCAGAATGCGAAATGAAAACACTTGACACACAATAATGCATTGAACCTGAGAGGCTGAGAGCAACAGAAGCATTAGAGACATGAGACAACATAACTTGGCCTTTAGCTTATTGCCTTCCACAGGATGGATGTCAACAGGATGACACGACAACCCCTCGAACCTCCTTTTCCTTTTAGCCCGATATGACAATGAAGTTGGATGGAATTCCCAGAAGCAATTTGTGTTATAGAATGTGGAAAATGACAATTTCATAATGCTCTTGACTTATTAGAGATATATTGGATTATAATTGTGTCGCCTGAGGGGTTGCAAAATGGTACGTGGGTAAACTTTATAATTGTTTTAGGGGTTTGAAACTAATTTGGAGATGAACTTGAGCTTTTGATTCACTGTTAATTTAATAAAGAGATGGGACAGCTTAACGTAATCCATTAGGCAGACAATTTAATGCGGTCAAAATAGAATTCAAGTGGGTATGACAAAGTGACTTAAATGAATTAAATTTGTTAAGCTTCTTAAACCAATTATCAATTTAAGTTGCTTGTGGGATTTTAATATTAATTACAGGTATAGGGAAAATGTTTTTTTATTTAATGAACATCTTAATCTTAAAAATTAAGGCACATTGTTCATTCATTTTTTTCTGTCTTACATTTTGCCACTTATTATTAAAATTGCACGAATACTTTCCCGGATCTCCAAGATTTATGCTCAACATGTCAAAAGTTTAGTGTTCCGTATCACAACATTATGTCCAATTGATGGCAATTATTTTCAACATTCTTTATCCACTTGCCACAAACGTCCCACCACTCATCAAGTGGCTCATTCCACTAAGCAGAAATTGCCGAACCCAAAACAACCCATCTTCGACACCCGGAGATTCCTCCTCGCATAAAACTCAACCCAAACGCAGCTGTTTATTTATAAAGTATCTGCCAACTCCCTTTCCAATCGCCAAAACCAAATCCTGGTCAACAGAGGGAAAGAGATCGATATATGAAAATAGACAGAGATAGCTGGAAAAGGGAGAGGGAGGCCCAAACAAAATCACATAACTTTTCACTTAACGACAACTCTCGAATTAAACTGTCCAAAGAGGCCTTAATGAAAAGAAGGGAGATGAAACCCAGCTGACACCACCCCTCAACCCCTGGAAAATCCATCCCCCTAACTCATCCAGATGCAATGCGATAACAATCCCAGAGTCATCATCGCTTCCCAGTAGACCTTTGGACCATTAATGGCATTTAAGTCAAGGAAAGCGAAAGGAGGGAAATATTTCAAGCTGTCCGAAAATAGAAAACAGTTTTTTGTTTTTTTGTTTTCAAATTAGCAATAAAATAATTACTTGCCGCGAAATTGTTTTAGGTTTTTCGCTTCATTTGCTGTTGTTTGTGTTTGTTCACACATCATCAACAGCATTCGCCAAAAAAACAAGACGAAAGATCAGCTCCAGAGGGGGGGATTACTATGGTAGCCAGAAAAGAGGTTGGCGGCTGATAATTACACGACAATACCCCCCATTAACACATTTTTAGCTCATCAGAGCTCACAGCTTCAGAGATGAGGAGCCAAAAGTTGGTAGCCAAGTTAAGACGACTCAAGACAGGTTAACCCATTTTGGGTGGCAGCTAAACCTGCTCGATGGATTCTTCAAATTTTTCAGATTTCTTTTGTTGTCTTATATGGGATTAATTCCCATTTTTGGTATAAAACAAGAAAGGAAAGCTAACTTCGGGCGGAGCCGAAGTTGATATACCCTTGCAGAATACTCTGTAAATTATATTCTCCAAAATTATTCATATGATGCATTCTAAATACTCATATAAAATCCCAACTTCCTAACTTTAAAAACACCAAAGTTATGGCATTTCCAATCGTTCAGTTATATGGCAGCTATAAGATATAGTCGGCCGATCCTTATGAAGTTTGGTAGGTCGGATTGATTGGCCAAAAATAAAACCCATAGAAAATCCCAAGTTCCTAACTTTACAAACACCAAAGTTATGTCATTTCCGATCAATCAGTTATATGGCAGCTATAGGATATAGTCGGCCGATCCTTATAAAATTTGGTACGTCAAATTGATTGGCCAAATGTAAAACCCATAGAAAATCCCAACTTTCTAACTTTACAAACACCAAAGTTGCGGCATTTCCGATCGTTCAGTTATATGGCAGCTATAGGATATAGTCGGCCGATTCTTATAAAATTTGGTACGTAAAATTTATTGGCCAAATGTAAAACCCATAGAAAATCCCAACTTCCTAACTTTAAAAACACCAAAGTTATGGCATTTCCGATCGTTCAGTTATATGGCAGCTATAGGATATAGTCGGCCGATCCCGGCCGTTCCGACTTATATACTGCGTGCAAAGGAAAGAAGGGTGTGTGCAAAGTTTCAATTCGATATCTTTAAAACTGAGAGACTAGTTCGCGTAGAAACAGACAGACGGACAGACAGACGGACAGACGGACATGGCTATATCAACTCAGGAGGTGATCCTGATCAAGAATATATATACTTTATATGGTCGGAGATGTCTCCTTCACTGCGTTGCACACTTTTGACCAAAATTATAATACCCTCTGCAAGGGTATAAAAATAATAGAAGGTAATGGTAAAAGTGAATTGAAATTCTATTGCACTGTGCCTATTCATCAGACTTTAAATCAATAATATATATTCCATATATTATATTTCGTGCAGTTAAAATTGTATATAGATAGTTATAACTGTGGGCATTCTTAATCACGACTTAATTCTTATTACCTTTTTATACCCTTGCAGAGGGTATTATAATTTTGGTCAAAAGTGTGCAACGCAGTGAAAGAGACATCTCCGACCCTATAAAGTATATATATTCTTGATCAGGATCACCTCCTGAGTTGATATAGCCATGTCCGTCTGTCCGTCTGTCTGTCCGTCTGTCTGTTTCTACGCGAACTAGTCTCTCAGTTTTAAAGATATCGAATTGAAACTTTGCACACACCCTTCTTTCCTTTGCACGCAGTATATAAGTCGGAACGGCCGGGATCGGACGACTATATCCTATAGCTGTCATATAACTGAACGATCGGAAATGCCATAACTTTGGTGTTTGTAAAGTTAGGAAGTTGCAATTTTCTATGGGTTTTATTTTTAGCCAATCAATCCGACCTACCAAATTTCATAAGGATCGGCCGACTATATCCTATAGCTGCCATATAACTTATTGATCGGAAATGCTATAACTTTGGTGTTTGTAAAGTTAGGAAGTTGGAATTTTCTATGGGTTTTATTTTTGGGCAATCAGTCCGACCTATCAAATTTCATAAGGATCGGCCGACTATATCCTATAGCTGCCATATAACTGAACGATTGGAAATGCCATAACTTTGGTGTTTTTAAAGTTAGGAAGTTGGGATTTTTTATGAGTATTAAGAATGCATCATATGAATAATTTTGGAGAATATAATTTACAGAATATTCTGCAAGGGTATATCAACTTCGGCTCCGCCCGAAGTTAGCTTTTCTTTCTTGTTTTTTATCAACTTCGTTGTTATTTTATTTTAAATAAATACCTTACACTCGTATTTAAGTTTTAAAATTCTGTTAAAGCGTATGTTTTACCATACGACAGACATTTCAATTTTACATAGTTGGCTTTTGGTCACCAATGGGTTAAGCCATGCAAACAACAGAAGTAGGCAGCCTCGTCGTTACAGATAAAGTTCATTCGATTTAATGATGCGCCAAAAATTAAAATTAACGAAAAAAAGATAAGTAAAACTCTGTGACGAACTTCCCACGTTGGATAAATAAGATTTCAACAGATTTTTGAAATAGCTCACTCCATCATCACAAGGCGGCAGGGGGCCGAGTCGTGTTAACAACAGCAACTATACGATAATTATAACAACCATAACAACAGCTCGGAGTTTAAATCTTTCTCTGCCCGTCTTGCGTTTTGTGTTTGCAGATTTTGGAGTTGAGCAATGAGGACCCACAGCAGCAGCAGCAGCAGCAGCAACAGCAACAGCCACAGCAGCAACACCCACTGCTGCGTCTGCACAATGAGGCCACCAGCAGCAACAGCAACAGCAACATCAACAATCCACGCGTGTCCAACGGCAACTCTAATGCCGCCTGGCTGCAGAAACTGAGTGCCATGGGTGCCCTGGATGAATTGGGCGGAGATGGAGTCCAACGATTTGGTTCCAACTATGGCCGATACTAAGCCATCTGAGCCGAGAACACCTGACGACAACAGCAGCAACTTTGACAAGGGAAACGGAAACACGGGGCTGGGGGAAAACCATGTTGCGATTGAAAATGTTTTGGGTCCGAGAAAAGGGATAGTAGTGTCGGAAATGTTCACAGGATTAAAATCCAATTCAAACGAAATCAAAGTGCGTGAAAATGGACAAATAAATGGAGCAAAGGATTCTTGTTCAAAGCCTACTTTGAAGTACTTTGAACAGACTTGTGCCTTTTTGGAATGTTTAAAAGGACACTCTGTAAAATCAATTCAAGAATGGGTTCTTTTATGAAATAACTTCAAGGTCCATTTTTATTCTGTAAATGCAAAACATACTTACATTTAATATAATTATCTTAAATTCTCTAGAATCTTTTTAAAGCAATTTTATTAAGTTAAAGTGTATTCACAATTTACATTTATATGTTTTTAATAATATGTGGGACTACTTAATTATAAAGTATTTCGTATACCAACTATTCCCGCCTATTATTTTTAAGATTAATTTATTTAATAACATCAAACATATGTATGTTCAATATTTAGCAAATAATTAACTATTTAAATTGCTATTAGAAACATGAACTTACAAGTCACCAAAAATTCAAAATGTTCATAGATACATTTTTAATTTCAACATGGTTTCCACTTTACCCCAAACTGAATCACTCTCAACGGTTTTAAATACGAAACGAAAAACTGAAAATAAATTCAGAATAAGACGAAACTGGAAAACTTGAAAGGACAAAAGCAGTTCCTATGCTAGAACAATAATTTTTAAAATCCTTTGGGTAAGCCCGAAGCGAAAAATGTACCTATATGTATGTACCTATGTGTTGTAGAGCAACCCCGTCCCTCTGAAACAAACAAAACTCTGAACAAAAAAAGTGACCCTTTAATGGTGTAGACTAAGTGCGGATTTTCAACTTCTTTTTGCGCGGCCAAACAAGAGATAAAAAAATTAAAAGTACCATAAAATTGTAAATATTTTACCCCCAAAAACCCTTCCACTCCCGCCCCACGAACAATAATAACTGGAGTTTTAATGGGCCCCCAAGGCTGACCGGGGCATATGAAGATATATAGTAAATGTATTGTGTATTTATAAATTATACTACTCCCAACTAACCTCCACTAGCTGCGATGGCCTCCGCTGGAAGATGGGCCCAAGTTTAATGCGATTTCGGTTGAGACTTTATGGCCAACAACATGTCGAGGGAGATATATACTTATACTTATACACACACTATTTAATTCGTACCTATATATAAATGTACATTTAATTGTTGTTAACTTACGTTATCGTTATTACTTATGATTCGCCGCAGAAGCAAAAATAAAAGAAATCATTTTCAATGCAATGTCCGTCTCTTAACTAGATCTCTGGGTGGTGATACAGTCAAGCCTGTTATGCAACGTATGAAGAGTGTAACGCAACTTTACAACGGTCTCAGATTCATCTTCATCTTTTGCCTCAAATACTCTTACATTTCACATCCATCTGCTTGAGGGCACCGCCAGCCGAAAGATTCCCATCTATCTCAATTTACTTTCTCGTGCTTCAAGTGCAACTCTTGACAAATTAAACGCTGAAAAGTGGCACCCACCAGAAAGACACATCACATCTCCCCGAAAACCCAGTCCAAAACAATCCAATCCAATTCAATCCACCATTTCGAACCCATTTCCAATGTCAGTTCGAACCCCGTTAAGTACTTTTAACCCGCCAAGTGCCGTTTTCTCGTTTTGTAAACGAAATGAAATAATAATTGTTTTCTTCACTTGTTTTTGTTTTTTTTTTTTATGTAAATATAATATCATTTAAATGGTTCCGTCTGCCTTTGTTTTTGCCTGTTACATAAAGTCATAAGAGATACAATATAATAATTAGTATCTGTGCATGCCGAGGTGTAGATGGCAGCGAGTTGGTAGCTGGATTTTAAATGGTTGATGTTGGGGGGAGATTTTTGGGGAACTATGTTACTCGGTTCAGGCCACGGAGAAAGCAGAAAGATGAATGGGTGAATGCGACGCTGATTATATGGCTCAGAATCGCTGTGGCATGGCGAATTCATTAAGATCTGGCAATGTGCCATGCATAATTCGCACAGTGTCTAGCAGAATGAACCCCCTAGACGAAGGGCCTTCCCAAAACGCATAATGTGATTGCGAAATTTCAGTTGCCTGAATTATGTAAAAGATATCTTCAAGTGGAAAGTTTCATGTTAAATTACCTACAAAAATTTAAAACATTAAAGTTTTCAATCCTAACTTTATAGATCTGCAATCAATCATTCACAAATCTTTTTTTGTAATAGAATTCCTGAAAATTATGTTTTGCTGTCATTGAATACTTAAAAAGTTAGTTTTTTCCTTTTTTCTCAGACCGTTGTAATATACATTTTATTAATAAATTTACTGTATGCAATTACGTTTAACATTCAATTATTCGTATCTGCTTAAGCCTGTTCATTTCAGACTCCCATTAAATATTTTATTTATGATTTGAAAGACTTCAAGTAATAACCATTAAGTAAAGTTGGTCGTATAAATAAGTTTTATTATTTTTGCAACTTTCAGCCAACATATTACGTATTATTGCGCTCAATATAAGGAATGGAATTGTTACATTTGATGTGGCTTGATTATTCCTAATTAGATTCTTTTGGTACTCAAATTTATTTATTTTTTATCCAAACGGAAATAATGGGTCAAGGGTTGCCTGAGGAAAGTATCTGGCAAATATTCGCATCGGGAAATCACGTGAAATTGCCGTAGGATGCGGAGTAACCACAGATGAACCTGCACCTGTTCCACCTTCGTGAATTCAGCATAATTTACCGCGACCAACGAATGATGATGATGACGATGGTTTTGAATGTGAAAGATGAGCGTGGAAAATTAAGGAAATGCAATCTGTGGAGAGGGGAGCAAGTGCAGCCGCCGAAGATGAACAACAAAATCAACACAACCCGCCATTTGGCTAACGGCATTATAAATGATGCCATCGAGGAAAAGTGACAGTCTCTGACTCTCCAGTTGAGTCTCTCGACTGTTGCAGGTTGCAGTTGCAATATTGCCGCTGCCGCCGGGTTTGTTGCTGTTTGGTGTCGTCCTCCGTTTGGCGCCACTGGCCACTGATTATGCCATTTCATCAAATTCCGGCAGCGATTGAGCAGGAGTGGCCACAAAATGCGACCAAGGATCGGTCGCCATCGATGCAAAAATGCTGATTGCCATTTATAGATTATGTGCATAAATCAGGGAAAAAGCCAGATATTAACTTTCGGGGGCTATGAGCCATGGAAAAGTTGCAAAACATTTTGCCAATCATATTTTTTTTTCCATCACTCTTGTCTAACGCAAATTGTCATGGCCGGGGCGTAAATTATTAAATAAGAAAAACAACCCAAAAACAACAGTACAACTTAGCAGAGGGGGGAAAAAAAACAAATTGAAGAAATTCAAAATATTGCAAAAACAACAAAACCCAAAAAAAAAGAGGAGAAAAATTAAATAAAATGCTTATGGAGATGGGGCGACCCAACAAGAGCGTGAAGCTCATTATGAAGCTTCGTGGCCAAAACGCGGACAGCAATTACAAAGGCAACAAACCCAGTAACAACAATAACAGTAACAATAACAATAACAACAAGCCCAAGACAAGACAAGGCAACGCAGTCCGAAAGACAGAAAGAAGCTGGCTAACAAAAGGCCGAAAGAGCATGAAGAAATGAAATAAAACCAACACCAGATTCAGTCCCAGTCCAGAGCACAAAGCTACCCCCATCCCCAATCCGCAATCCCCATCCAAACCCATTCCCCGAATAGCCAGCTAAATGAGAGTGAATCCACATCCATTGAAATTGAAAGTGAATCGTGCCACACGATCCGATCCGATACGATCCGATTCAGAGTCCAGAGTTGGTTACGAGTCCACAGCGATTGGATCCTCCAAATGACCAAAATAACAATTTTTACCACATATATATAATAAGGCAACAAGAAAAACAATAACGAGAGAAGTAGGAAAGGCATATTTTCATTTGATTACCACTACGAAAGGGGAATACTCTAAGGGGAATGTGCAATATTACTGAACAAAAGTTTCTCAATTGCTAAGTTCTTGTGGTCTAAATAATAAACATAGCCTTCGGTTCCTTCCTTTACCAAAAATTTTAATTGCAACCAAAAGTGTTTTTCATAATGTTGGAAAACTTATACTGAACAAAGCATTCTTTAAAATCTATTCAAATATTAGTATTTAAAAATTAATTGGGAAAAAAGTTACATATTCTAAGGTAGGATTAAAAACCAAATGGATTCAAATAAAAGAAATACATAATAATGTATTATATCCATAATCTGTACATTAACTATAATATTTAAATCATTTTAGTTTCTAACAGGACATAATATTTCTAGCATTTATTTTACATTTAAAAAAAAAAAAACAATTTAAATTCAGATAACATTCAATTTTTTTTATCAATAATACATTATAATTACAAATGCACTCCTTTCTTCTTATTCATAGATTTATTATATTTAGTTTTATCTTTTTACAAATTATTCATTGTTTACTAACTTAAAATATATTTTATGGTTTAGCATATATGTTTATACCCGTTACTCGTAGAGTAAAAGGGTATATTGTATTCGTGCAAAAGTATGTAACAGCTAGAAGGAAGCGTTTCCGACCCTATAAAGTATATATATTCTTGATCAGGATCACTAGCCGAGTCGATCTAGCCATGTCCGTCTGTCCGTCTGTCCGTCTGTCTGTCCGTCTGTCTGTCTGTCTGTCTGTCCGTATGAACGCTGAGATCTCGGAAACTATAAAAGCTAGAAGATTGGCATTTTGCATGTAGATTTTACGCAGCGCAAGTTTGTTTCAAAATGGTGCCACGCCCCCTTTAACGCCCACAATCGCTTATATACGATTTTAAAAATTTAAATATTTCGGAAAAGTAAAAATGCAGTTTTATTGTGTTTATCAATACCTATCGAAATGTAAATTTTTCAAATCGGACCATTCGTTAAAAAGTTATGCGTGATCAAAGTTTCTATCTGCATCTCCCTCGCACTCCCTTTACCTGAGTAACGGGTATCTGATAGTCGGGGCACCCGACTATAGCGTTCTCTCTTGTTTTATATTAAATAATATCATATTATTTCAGCGAACCAAGAAACGTTTTTTGAGCGATAATCTTATATTTCTTACACCATTAAGTGAAGTATGTACCTACAATAAAAAATTGAATTTCCTACCCTTGAAAATAATAGACCCTTAAAAAAAACTTCCGGTTATATGAGTTATTAAGGGATTTCAGAAATAACTACCATAAAAACACATTTAATGGGCTTGCTGAAATTTCATATGCCTGGCTCCAGCTTAATTATGAAAACAATGTACCTTTCAAGTTCCTTATTTTCCCCTTGAAAATAATCCTAGTTGCCCCAAAAAAAATGCACGACCACACATCAAAAAAAAGCCACGAGAAAGAAGTAGTTAATCGATGAAGGAAAAACCAAAAGCCAAGAAATGGTCAGCAGACGTTGCAGTTGCAGTCGGCGTCGCGGTCGCAGCTAGGAGCTGCAGCCTCAGTTTCCCCACCAGATGACTTGCCTGTCTGTGGTTGTTGTGGACTTGGCTTAAACATTTCAATTTCTTCATGGCTATATGCCGCTGCTGCTGCTGCTGCTGCTGCCGCTGCCGCTCTTTGCCAACTGCTCAGCCAGCGTCAACGTTGACTGCGGCAGCGGTCTTGGTCGTCGTCTTGAATTTTACTTAATTTTTATTTCACGCGCTGCGCCGCTATAAAAGGAACTGCAACAATCGTTGTGGCATGCAGTAAGAGGTTCCGCGTCGAAGCAGCACCACATTACCAGTAACCAGTAACCAGTAGCACCGAACCACCTGGAGAAGTGACAAAACCCGAAACGGATATAGCCGAAAAATAACCACCCGAAAATGCAGTCCAGTTGTGTGGTATGAATCATGTGACCGACCGACCAAGCTCCCAAGTTTCCGTGATTAAACGTAGTCCCCCAACTAAATGGTGTTCTCCTCCGATCTCGTCCGCAGTTAGTGGTCGTCTTAGCCTTGGCTTCCTTGGTGGCCGCTCGTCCCGAGCCGCCTCGTGACTCGTACAGTGCACCCCCCTCCAGCAGCTACCAGCCGAGCGGACCCAGTGGGGGTTACGGAGCCCCTGCGCCCCAGTACGGACCCCCCAGCAGCCGCCGGTGGTCCACAAGCATGTCTACGTCCATGTCCCGCCACCAGAGCCGGAGTACCAGGCACCCAGGTGAGTCCAAGGATCAGGTATCCTTTAGTCAGGAGTTACCAAAAATCAAGTCTTAGGAAAGCTCTATCGGTAGTCTCTTAAAAAATTGTAATTTATATAGGTATCCCTTTATTTAATAGGATTAGGATAAGGGATTAGCCGGCAGAATTGTTTAACTGATCAGAACTGATCCTTAATAATAGTTGTTCAAACATTTAATAAATTTACATACAAATTTCCTTAGGGGTCAGTAAATAATTGTGTGTCAACTGATAGTTCTAATTATCTGTTAGTTAGATGTTTCTTATTAGAATCGAATGGATGTTAATCTACAACAATGTGTCTTGCTTCATATAAATTTATGTTGGCACTGGTTAATTTTATTATACAGCTCCAAGTGTGAACATTACAATTTTACTCTAAAATAACATAATAATTTAACAGATAGAATAATTCAAAATTTTTTTAAATCATTATAAAAAAAAATTAATTTGAACTACAGAATACAAAGAATCATTCTAATGTATTTCAAGTTTTATGATAAAGACATTTGTTCAAGGGAAGTGCTCATATCGGTCATAGTGTATTTTTAGGATTTATTAGCGAGAAACTATAAATATATTTAAATTATTCACACCCCTCACCCGTTTTTCATCATCTTGCGTGATGGGGTGCGGTTACAAATGATCTCGCTTTATTTGTCTTGTTCCACTTAAGATTGGCAAAAAATGAAAGAAAACACATTGTTGTGTTATGAGTATATAATCCACGCCACTTATGCAGATTCTCTCACAATTCATCGCCGTAAAGCAAGTAGTGCCGCCAACTCCCAAAGATAATAACCAGACAAATGTTGCAAGACCCGACGCCAATCATCTAATCCAGCTCAGGGCCCTTTTTCACAGATGTTGCCTCATTTCCAGGGTATTTAGAGGGTCGTTTTACAGGAGGTAAAATTATTTAATACCAGAGAAAACGAAAGCCATCACACTTTTCTCTCTTTCCTCTGATTCAATGTTTTCTGTCGTCTTCTGTTTTCAATTGGAGTTGGAAGCAATGTTAATTACCTCGAGAGGCGAATGATATGGCTTTGCAGACCGACAAACCATGACTAAAATGTTACCTAAGCTTTTCGCAGTACTTGTAAATATATCTGAGTAGCATTTCCAAGCTAATTATCAGACGCGGAGGGACAGGAACGCGATTACCATAGGGAGCTTTATGTAAACCCTCGTCTCGGGGCGATTGTTGTGACAGTCGTTGTCATCATCACAATGGTCATCATCTTCATCTGATTAGCAAAACCGACAGGCAGCTGCAGTGGGATCACCTTTTTCGGGAGGTCACCATTTATGGGCTTACCATTTGCATACACCTCGAACCTCCTTTCTCCAGCTTGATGCGGAGATACCGCGTTGTAGAAAGTGGGAAAAACAATTAAAGCCTGACCGTATACGTATGGAAATAGTGTACCTTGCACTTATGATAAAATATGCATTTTTCCGAAAAGTTAAAACCGAAATGTGTATAAAAGGATTGGGCACTTTTATTATATGTCTAGCCCATTCTAAACGGATATTTTTGTATATTCTCGCCAGGAAACCCCTGTATGTGCCGCCTCCGCAGAAGCACTACAAGATCGTGTTCATCAAGGCGCCATCCCCACCTGCCCCAACTGCACCCATAATTCCGCAGTTCCCGCAGAACGAGGAAAAGACTCTGGTGTACGTGCTAGTCAAGAAGCCAGAGGAGCAGCCGGAGATCATTATCCCGACTCCAGCGCCCACTCAGCCCAGCAAGCCGGAGGTGTACTTCATCCGCTACAAGACCCAGAAGGAGGAGACCGGTCCCTATCCCAACAGTGTGGCGCCTCCGGCACCCGAGTACGGAGCACCAGCTGCCCCACCTGCACCCTCTGCCCCAAGCAGCTCGTATGGAGCACCGTCCCACTAAACGATCCAACATATCCAATCCAAACCGAATCCCGATTTGCGAATCTCAACCCAACTCATGGCGAACTGCATATCTTATGTGTATTATTTTTTGTTCTGTTTCAACGACTTTAACGCGTGACAAAGTTTACCAAGCTACGAATACCCCTCAATCCCCCAAAGCTCATATGAATATTACCCCTATTGATGAGTAATTTTTACCTCTGAAGTTGTTTCTACCTATTGTATGAGATGTATGTTTTCCATCTAGGCTGTTTGTTTCAAATTGTTTGTTTAGTCTTAAGTTTAGGTCTTTAAGCGAACGATGCGTTATACACTCACACAAAACACACTCGATACACTCACTGCGAACTAGCCTTAGTTATCGATAGCAATATCGATCCTGATACCGATAAACGATATATACATGTTACATGATTTTCATCACAAATGCATTTTCACCTAGGCAATTTATACCAATTCCATATTGCAGTTTCTGCACTCTATTTCCATAATTGTAAATAGAGAGTGCGGAACAATCGAAAAGGCAGTAAGAAAATGAAGATAGGTAATGATACTCAAGAATGTATATGTTAAAAAACAAAACATCAATGGCTAAATAAAAGTTTAACGAATTATCTGTATGTACATGCTCTTTTATTTATAAACATTTTTATTTTCTTATTTACAGTAATTACGCCCCATTGTTTATCTGTTATTCTCTTTATAGTAAGTGAAATCTACTTTACTGCTTATAAGAATATTTTTATTTCAACAGACCTCTTTTATAGCGGATATGCCTTTTATATTTGAATATAATTTAAATATCTGGTTATATATTATATATAATTTGGTTCTTTTGATTATAAATAATCACAAATTTGGAGATAACGATATTAATAATTATAATTAACATTCAACCATAAGTGTTTTAGTAAAGTGAATAGAATGTTGAAATTATTTTGGAATTTCTTCATATTTTGTTATTCAATTGCCTGGCATATAAAATTGTGGGATGAGGAACATCCGTCAACCCACATGGCACCATTATGGATGGTGACGCAATGCTGATTCCTGTTGTTGTATTTGGGTTCCCCTGGCTTCCACTTCAAGAAGGGAGCTCTCTTTCCGGTAATCTCAGATAAGAACTCGCCCTCTTGAGACCGATCGTTGATATCCAGCAAAAAGCTAGTTCCCTGATCTAGTTTTGCACTAATGGCGTCGAATTCACTCTCACTTTTTATGGAGGCCAACTGGCCACCCTTCTGCTTGCAGGTGTTTATAGCACTAGCCCAAGGTTGTGTTAGCGTACGTTCAATGTAGAAATATCTGGATCCGATTAGCTCGAACATGGGCGGAATATTTTTTATCACTTTCATTGTGTTCAGAGAAACATTAATGCTAGTCAGAGTTTCCTGTATGGCAGATAGTTGACCCTCCATCTTCATTTGTATCGCTTCTAGTTGACCCTTAATCCTGTCCTGAAATACTTGTCGGTCCTCTGCAATCATCTTTTTCAAAGATTCCGTCAGTGTTGATTCCTGGCGTTCAATCTGATCCTTTAATGCTGTTTGTTGGGCCTCGATTCGTTGCAATTTAGCCTGGGTTTCGTTTAGTTTCACATTATCGCAGGTTTTCCATTGATCCTGGTGCAGGGCAATGTGGTTGATCAATGGCATTAGTGCAGTCAGGCAGAATTCCCCACATTGCTTCGGAGGATCTTCTAAAAGACATACGGAACGGTCACTGTTTGCGGAGCTTATATTGGGTCCACACAGAAATAATACATAAAGTACTTTTATCAAATAAGTTAGAAGCTTGGACATTTTAATAGTCTTGAACCACTTCAGACGAATGTATAAAATCAACTGATTCTTTATTTATTTGCTGACTTTCAAAAAGCCCAGCATTATTGTTGATAAGAACGAATAATTTATAATGTATAATTGCATACTCCCAGCTATTAATAAGCGAGCTTACTTGGAGAGTATGATATGGAAAATTTCCCTCCACCGGATGTCACTGAGAACGTAAATAGTTGATAACTTTTATTTCTTTTTATTTCAATTCAATTCCATTTTCAAACTGTAACGCTTTTGGTGTTGCCACCCTAAATTGACCCGTTAGATGGCGCCCCTAAGCAACTGTAAAACTATAGTAAAGTGCTTCACAAACTGTTTATCTTCTTTCACTGGTCTTAAGCTTTGTTTTCTTTGTTTGTTGTGTTTTTTTAAGCTTGGATTGCATAAAATTTGATTTGTCCGTTGCGGAAAAATGCTTTTCACGGAGTTAAAGTTAAGTTTTATGATAATTAATAACGAAACACCTTAAAAGGGGATTGGATTACCGCCGTTTTTCCTGCAGCTACCTTAATACCAATCAGCCTGGTCCACTTTAATTGAGCCGTTGCCGTTGTCCACTTGGTAAAAAAACGGAAAATAAAGGTAAAGTTAAATCCGGACCAACCCCGTCCACTTTCATTCACACAGGCTTTTAAATACGAACACGAGCCTGCCAAATGTAAGCGAACTTAAAAACACATCGTTTGCATTTGGCCCCACACCCCCCTTTCGCAGTCCCCTCTTTCACCCCCTTCCCCAACCCATATCCCATATAACCCCCCTCCATCAACAGCAACTCCAGCGGCACTTAAGTGACGCTCCAGCAGCTCAACTATCACCGTGTTCGTGTGTGCTTTCTTATTCTTTTTATTCCAGGTACTCACGCAGATAAAAGGTATATTGTATTTGTGCTTTTAGATCTCAGAGACCATTAAAGCTGTAGTTATCAATTTCAATATGGAGACTTCTGCAGGGTCATTGCAAAATTTTTATAAAAATATACTATTCAATGATATTTTTAAAAGGTTTATTTGCCTATATACACATTATTACTTAATTAGAAATTTTGGTGAAATAGGTATCTTATTTTTTATGGTCATTTATTCATAAAAGACAATTATTTTCAAGGTTTTTGAAAACAGAAACAGTTTAATACAAGTATTCATTATCTTCATAATTAGATAAATAGTATCAGATAAATTTCCCTCTATAGGTACTTTAAAAGATCAATTCATAAAATATTAATCCTGGTTGATATTAAGATAAATTTGTGTTAAACACATCAATAAAACTTTAAGTTAACCTATGAAAAACATAAAAATCGTTATTCAAAAATATATATTTAAATAGTTTTTTACTTTTTGTTTTAAACTATAAGCATTAAAGTACACTGTTACAACGATTTATAAGTTAGAAATGATCCGGCTTCCTCATTTTATTGCAAGACGAGGTATTTCTCTGTTTTTGATTTTCCACAGCGAGTGAGCATTTTTGCTGTCTACAATATAAACATCATTTACGTTGTTCTTTTTGTTTTAGTCTCGCTGATTTTGTTTACCTGAGCCTCAAAGTTGTCGTACGCCAAACGAAAGAGATTTACCGGAAGAGAGTGAAAGAGTGAAAGTCCGTCAACCCTTGTCAAAATTTTGGCTCTCTTGTTTTCTGGTACGCTTGCGCCAAAGAGAGGCGGAAAACTCTTGGGAAATTCAAGCCCATGCCGAAGCTAAAAACCGAAATTTAAAACCCGACTTCAGTTGCCATTGTAATGCCAACGCAGTCGGCACGCGTTTGGCTTTCTCGCCTCGCGGGTTTTTTATTTATTATTCGCTGAAGTGACAAGCCAAGAAACGACAACAAAAATCGCAGAGAATCGGGGAAAATCCCAGTGTGTTGGATAAAGTATAAATCATGTGCGAGGAAATCAAGACAATTCGGAAAGTCAAAGGAGTTGAGCCAAAGATGAAATCAACAGCGAGAAATTGCCAGTCATAAAAAAGGGTTTGTGTTTGTTCCTGTTTCGTGTGTGTGTTTGCGTGAGTTTGTGTGTGTGTGTTGTGCCAAAAGGGAAATCCCTTAACCCCCCACAGAACCCTTAACCCCTGACTTCAGCTAGACTCCCCTATTGTGCGTTGTGTACAATTAGAAGGCATTGCCAATCGATTTGTGTGAAAAGCCAAAGCTAAAACTCAAAAGGTGGACGACGCCAATCCTCAATAAAAAGCGAACTCAGGAAAGCAAAAAATAAGGGAAAACCCTATATAAAAGAATGGAAAAGCTACCAAGAAGTTTCCTTTTAGTTGGCAGGTGCGCGTAGTCTGAAAAATGAAGTTGAACCGACCCGAAGTTGTTGCCTGTCATTCAAAGGGAATGGCAATATAGAAGAGGCCAAAATGGAATGGGCAGCGACACGGAGATGGGGAAATAGGTCTGGGAATCGGGGGACAATATTAATGAAAGACGTTGCAAAAATGTCACGTTTCCCCAGTCAAATTGAAATAATAATGAAGGCATTGAAGAAATGTCACGGCCCGAGACTGACAAGTAAAAGGAAAAAGTCCAACGGAATTTGCATGAATATCTCAAAAATAAAGTTGAACATAACAAGTAAAGTTGATAATTCCAGCGATATAAAACATAACAAGCTTGATAAGAGACAAGTCCCATAAGCATGACAGTCCGGAGGGGACATCACATCTAACATTCTCTAAATAAAGTTTGAGTGACGCGACTAAGAAAATCCATCCCAAAAGAATACTTTAAAAATATTAAATATATTCCTTAGAGAAAAGAAATAATAAATAACTTCAAAATACAAATCGAACACATATAATTATGTAAGCCAAAAACAGCTGAACACGGAAAATAAAAAAATTTGAATTAAATAAATGTTTAATAAAGAACCTTTCATTAAAAACTTAATAAGAAATTATCATCAAACACATTCTGATCCTAAATAATAAAGTACCACAATAGATAAAACAATACAAAATATCCAAACGGCAATTTTCTTTTTATAACCCCAACAAAAAACGTTAAATGGTTAAAAGCTTAAAACTTTTATTACCCAAAAGAAACTTCAAATGGTGTACATAAACTTTTCGAATAGAATTAAACTGATGTGAAATACGACTGTCCCAAAAGAATACTTGAAAGACAGCGAAGCGCATAATTTCCCACCATAAAATCCCAGGCAAATTCTACATAAATTTGATTTTATGCACAAGATGCTACAAGTGAATAAAACACGAGCTTAGTGACAGTGACAGTGTGAGCGTGATAGTGATGATAGTACAGTGAAGCATATGCCCAATAAACAGATGGCCCATAATCATAAAGCGAAAGTGTTATGGCCATTACCGAAGGACCAGGACCCTTCTTGGCAGCACCACCAAATAACTTATGCCCATCGGCCCGAACCGAAATCGCAATTTATGACAGGCCCGGCAACTATTTAAAGAACCATAAAACCCCCCAAAACAAACAAAGTTTATGGGGAGTGACGATTGCATTTTAAGATCCCTGACATAAAACAAAAGCCAGGATTTGGGCTCCCCCCTTATTAACTCCCAATTTTATTTGTTTTCCGAAAAGGAAACGCAAGTGCTTCCAGCAATAAACTTCCATCAACCAATAAGAAAGGAACCATGGCCACCAGTTCATCGAATATATCCCGGAACGGTGGATTCTGTGGTGCACTGCAGCGGGCCCCGCCGCCCATGCCGCCGACCCTCATCCGCCGCCTGAGCAGCCGGGAATGCTACGGCGTGGGCAAGGTGAAGGTCATGCTGCGGGTGGCGGAGCGGGACAGGAACTCCGGCGGAACAACCGAGCCGGACTTTATGGCGCTGGACAAGAAGAAGCGACAGGTCACGCTCACCGATCCGAGAAATGTGTGTCCTCCGCCGCAGGCTGCCCAGGAACGGGCGCCCATGGTGGCCGCACCAAAAATGTTTGCATTTGATAACCTCTTCACCGGGGAGGATAAACAGGTGAGTTTCGCCAAGATTTTCATTTACTTTGCTTTAACAAGGATATAAAAATGCCATTATAAAAAAGAATTCGGGGAGTAATTTTCTAAATTTAGTTTTAGAAGTGATTTATGTAACTTTCTGTAAAAGTAGGTATAGTTTGAAATTCATGGGAAGCCCTGAACAAGCTTAATAAAAGTAAACTTTACGGGTCTACTGATTTGATGTTGTATTGTAACATTGTATTATTATAATTATATTCGGATTTAAATAATAAAGTATTTCCAATAATTATTTTAAAGACCATTTTGGAAAATATTTTTAATTGTAAAATCGTTAGGACAATATATAAGGCTCAGATTTTTAGAAGTAGGTAAAATCAATGGTAGTTTTTAAAACTTTCTAAAAATATTGAATTAAATATAAAATAAAATATAAAACTATTACCTGAAGTTATCGATTAAGCTAAAGTTATTGATTAAACTCGAAGTCACACGTTGGTTATATTTTAATTTCTTCTATAACACAATGTTTTTTTCATTATTGATTAATGAGCTACACAATCACACTCGTTCTCAAAGTAAACAAATTATTCACTTTAAAAAGCCATTCAAAATATACGATCTGCCCAGATTTATATTTTCAGGTAATTACAAAACTTCAAGCAAACTGAAAGATAAAACTTTTCAAGTTTGCTTTCCACTTAAAATCAGCAAAAGTTCCCAGACTTTCCGCAGTGTTATTTGCATTTAGCAAACGGATAATTTTCCCATACGCAAATATTGAGTTGCCATTTAGAAAGTTTAATTGAATGTGAGAATCTTATTGTGAAGGAGAAAATAGCAATGGTAATCCTCTTTGTGTTTAATGGATTCTTTTCGGAGGACAACAAATGTCGCACTTGTGTGCCAAAGTTATACTATTTAACTTGTTATAAGATAACAAAAGAGGTGTTAGTAATTCTAGAGAATAACAAGTCACCACAAAATACCACAATCAATCTTCATAATTCATAGCAAGAAAGCTTCCTTTCCAAGATTTATGACCCTTGAAGTGCAATCACTCATAAGGCAATCCCTCAGACCAAGAAAAAAGAAATACCCCCAATAGAATTAACACATACGAGTATTGTCCTCCCCATCGGATCTAATCAGCAATCGAATTAACCCCGCAATCGAACCCAATTCCAACCATTAAAGAGAGCCCATTAGTATGCCTTGTTAGCCACCACCCACTGACCTCATCTCCACACCATCTCCTTTTCTTTTTTCACTGAGAAAAATACATTGGTAAGACTAGGACCTCTTTGTTTTTGTTTTAAATAATACTAAGTTAGTGGTGCAAGTACAGTTTGATTACTGAGATTTTTGATTTTGCATTGAACATTTATTTAATAGGTAATTTTATAACATGTTCAACAATCATATTTCCTCTGTGTTATTATTTATAATGTAATTATATTTATACAAAATATAAATATGGCGCTAGTTTTATTTTAAGGAAAATGTTGCCTAATTGTAGACATAATTTTATGTCTGTACCATTTAACTTAACACTTGACCCATACAAAAATTCATTTAATACAAGAATATTGTTTCTGTTGGCTCTTAAATGTTATATGAAAATAAATTAAATAAAACTTATGCCACAGATATAGGCGTTTACTATATATAAATGTTTCCATTTAATGAGCAAATTAGTAACATTTTCTCTTTGTGTATATTGTATATTCCAGTCGGATGTGTGTGCATCGGCGCTGAGCGAAGTGATACCCGCCGTGCTCGAAGGCTCCGATGGCTGCCTGTTGGCCATGGGATATCCCGCCACCGGACAGCCCCAAACGGTGTTGGGGGATGTGGGCGGAGGTGGAAATGGGAGTGGCACTGGCAGTGGGGGGCGTGTTCCCTGGGAGCGGCCCCCTGTGCCATCTCCTGGCTATACAAGGGCATCCAGGAGCGGAGGCAGAAGAGCGGAGCGCGATTCTCGGTTCGGGTCAGTGCCGTGGGCGTCAGTGCCACCAAACCGGACGCCCTTTCGCAGGATTTGCTCATCTCGCATGCAGCCGGTAAGCATATGGCAGGAAGAAGGGCCTTCAGCCAGGAAAAGCGGGCCATAACCGCATTGCTTCCAGGTCAACTATTTAATTTAAAACTATTTATTACAAGCGTTAAACATTTTTCATTTTGCAAGATAAAGTTTGCAGCATTTCCTAACTTTTTAAAACAATTTACAACTTTATATAAAATTATATAAAATGAATATTAAAGGGAGATTTGAACCCTAATTTAACTTTATCGATGCAAGCGCCTTTTTGGCATAGTTATTTTAAATAATGAATTCCTGAGATGATATATTTTAACATAAGAGATCAGATTTAATTGTCAAAAGTCTCAATGACTCAAGGACCATATGACTAGAACGTGTAAAGATCTTATTTAATGCAGATATAAAGTGAAGAGAAATATGTACCCAAATTCAGAGGACGACCTAATTACCCCAAGAATTAAGAAGTATTCGGGCACCAAGTAAACAAAGAAAACCTAATATTCTTTAGGTGGTTGAACTTCTAGTCAGCATCCTATCGCTATTTTTTTCTTCTTGTTTAACTTGGCTTTTTATCTTTAATTTTGGGTAGTTAACGCTGGTCCACCTGTTAGCTGCCAGCGGGCAGAATCGCCGGCAGGATAAATGGCTCCGTTGAGGGAGTGGGGCGGTTGCAGGGGGCGTGGCGTAATGTTGCCCCTGGGCCAAACAATGATGATGATGACTGGGGCGGGTCGGGGTCGTAACTGGCCCAATTTGAATAAACTTAACCTGGGCAAGCAGTTCCGACACCGTCACCCCATCCTCTTATCATCAACAGCCCCACACTTCCCCATAGAATGCGGCGTTTATTCCCACATAAAACCTAATGCCCTTTTCATTCACTCCCCGTTTCTTTTTTCGGTCTTAATACTGGAACTCCGGCTCCGACTCCAACATCGACTCCAACTACACGGCTACACAGAATCTGACGACTCCCCGGGGATTTATTTGCGTGACGACTTCCTTGGCGGTCCAACGGAATTACGTGCACCCACCGCCGAGCGTGCGGCCCTGTTTCTCGACTCTGCGCTCGCCGGACGCTTAAAAAGTTCCGGTTCCACGGGATCTGGGAGTTCTGGCAGTTCTGGATGTGCCGCCGCCCCCTTGGAGTCCGCCCTCATCTTCACGCTGCACGTCTACCAGTACAGCCTGTCCCGCAAGGGCGGTGGTAAGTGTCCGACACATTGTTGTTTTCATGCCCTGCAAAGGGGCTGTAGTTATGAGCTGAGAATTAAATTCAGTAACAGCTAATACTTGCAAATACTTGGAAGGACTATCATAGAGATACAGACGAAGTTTCATAACTCAAATTACTAACTGTCAAGAAAAAATAAGATTATTGAATTAATTATAATTATACCTATCGCTGTTTATTGTTTAGACAACAAGACTAGTTAGACCCAGAAATATAATTCAATCAAATTGCAACTAATAGTGAAATTCCGAAACTTTTTTAAAACAAATATTTTTAAACGTATCTGAGATTTGAGTTAAAACCGACTGTACTTTAAATGTTTTCTTTAAATACATATATTTATAAAAATAAGGAAAGAAGTTTATCATTTTGCATTTTGTTTTTAATAGGAATAAATTGTAACATTTATGATTGCTACCAAACATAATGTCTTAGAATAATATTTATAACTTCAAGTGCAGAATTATTAATGATATTTATTTTGCTGAACTAGTGTATTTTAATATTCGGTTTTCAAAATGTTTCCTCCTTTCTTGTTATTGCTATTGTTGCTGCCACTTTTGTTGCTGCTGCCACTCAAGTGGCCCGCTAAATGCTTCACTACCACTAGACGGCAGCGCCATTAAAGTGTCGCATTTCCTCCACTCCAACACCCATCGCCATCCACCAACAAGCGCCCACTCACCCCCATTTAAACCCACTCCCACCCACTTTCCTTTTATGCAAACACAGTGAAAAATAGAACAAAATATCAATTGGTTTTTGTATGTGATTTTCTTGTACATATTTTGAAAGGGAAAAAAATATAATCTGTTTCTTTTCGGTATTCAAACGTAACATAAGGGTTCTCTTCTTGTCTTTAGCACCTAGCAAATAACAAAATCAGCGTACATATACTTTAAAATATAGTTTTTATTATGCATATGCAATTTTTTAATCATTATTTTTCATGTTTTAAGATTCCAAGCTGATGGTCGATTTCATTTTCCTAATTTTCTCTCTGTGCAGTGGCTGGCGGTCGGAGCCGTTTACATATCATCGACCTGGGCGGGTGTGCGAATCGCAGCGGGGGACTGCCGCTGTCGGGGATCGGGAACATACTGCTGGCGATACTATCCGGCCAGCGGCATCCCCCACACAAGGACCACCCGCTGACCCCGCTGCTCAAGGACTGCCTGGCCCCCATCACATGCCATGTGGCCATCGTGGCACATGTGCGACCCGAGCAGAGCTACCAGGATGCCCTATCCACCATTCAAATCGCATCCAGGATTCATCGCCTGCGTCGCAGGAAACATCGTGTTCCCATGCCCTTGGCGGTGGGCTTGGCCCAAGGACTCGGCGGCAATGGCTCATCGGCGGGATCGGGAGCGGATCCGTCGAGTTCCGAAATCTCCGCTGACACAGTCATCTATATGGGACCCAACGACGATGCCACGGATGGGGAACATCCGCCCGTGTATCTGCCTTCGCTGAATACGGGGGATAATCGCGGGGTGATGAGTAAAGCCCTCAAGGGGAGTGGCTTGGAGAAACCCCCCTCGAAGTCCGCCTCCAACAGTCCCATGATGATGAAGAAGGCCATAGCAGCGGAAAAAGGTGAGTTGGGAATTTAGGGTTTTTTGCCTAAGCAAATCAATGTTCAAATTTGGGAGTCCTTTTAATACTATTTAATAAGGGGTTAAATGGGAAAATTTTGTGATTTTAAATAACTATTAAAAGTCACTATTCAAAAAGTTTAACAAATGATTTGAAATCCCCAGAGGTATAATAAAAATGTATTCTTAGTGCAAAGTCCAATATTAAATTATTTTCGAAAACGAGTATGTGAGCATTACATTTCCATTCCATTTCCAAAATGTTTAAATATTTTACTTATGCTTAGTATTACAGAATAAATGCTATAAAAAAAGACGATTGTAGAGTTTCGGAGTTATTCGTTTGCTTATTCAAGCTAACAAAATCTGTGCCAAAAAAAAATTGTAATCAAAAAGTTTGTATGAATATTTAGGATATTTTATAGCACAGCATTATGGATGAATAATGAAATATGGAAAAGCCGAATATAAAATATTTTTTATTTATTTATTTTCGTTAACAAATTTCAGCCAAAAAGCTACCGGTGAGCAACACGGGAAGCCTGAAGCGACAGGCGGGAGCGGGAGCATGCTCCTCTCCACTGATTCCCCACGAGCAACCGCAGCTGCAGGCCATGGGATCGCCTATTCCGATACCCCGGCACATGGTGTCCAAGGGATCGATGGTTCCCTCACCCAAGGGATCGCCGATGCGAAGAGCTCATCCGGGAGCAGCGCTCGAACAATTGGAAGCGGGAATGAGAAAAATAACCGAGGAGCAGTGGATCGATGGACCTCGAGTGTCCAGGGCCAAAGTGGCTGAAGCCCGTCATCTAATGAGGGAGGTTAATCATGTCAAACAGTGCGAAACCTGGGTGGATGGTCCCAAGTCCCAATCCTGTAGATCCCTGACAGCCGGAAATCTTCCAGCAACCGGGGGAAGTCAGGCTCAGGGTTACGGATTCATGGATGCCCATAAAAAGACCATGATTCGTCAGTGGGTTGAGAACCAGACAACGCAAGTCTTCCAAAGTACAGTCTCCGCCAGCAATTCCCCCACTGCTTTGCATTGGAAACTATCGCAGTTGAAACAAAAGTCTCTGGACTTGCCAGACAGACCTGCTTTTAATCCGGAACCTTCTTTGGATCTCAATCAGCCATGCTTCGAGGGCTTACCTCTCTTGGATCCTGCTCCTCCGGATGGCGATGAAGACGAGGATAGTGGTCCCTCGGAGGTTCCTCCCGCTCTTCCATTACTAGATGATCCTCTGGGCTCTAGGGACATATCGCAGGATAACCTGCACAGGATGTTGTCGAGACATGTGTCCAGGGAGCAGCTTTACGAGGCTGAACTGGTGGCCAGCAGGGCATCATCTTCCCATCATCCATCGCAGCGGAGTATCGATTGTGGACTACAGGTCACGGAGGAGGAGATTGCCAGGACTATGGCCAGGGATCGGGACCACGATCACAGTGCACATCCTCTGTCGGCTCTGAGTCATTGCGACAACATATCCTTTGTGTCCAGCTTCAACATGGCCTGTGAATCCTTCAGTGAGTGCGGAGAAAGAGCAAGGTGAGTTGGATCTAACCCATTTTTACGATAGTTATTTTTAAGTTTGCAAAGACTTATAGAAAGGTAATCTAAAATTGAATTTCAAAGTGACTAGTGGCTTGATACATTTTTCGATCCATTTTCATGTTAGAGTTTTTTAAGTTACTGATAAATTGTAGAAAGGTGACCCAACATAAAACATCTAGAGTCTATAACTTGACCAAATTTAAGGACATTTCAAAGTGATATACCTCTAAAGACTTGTGGTTACATTCTCTAAAAATCTGCATTCAAATTTTATCCGATTTCAAAGTGGCATACCTCTAAAGACTTGTGGTTACATTCTCTAAAAATCTGCATTCAAATTTTATCCGATTTCAAAGTGGCATACCTCTAAAGACTTGTGGTTTGATTCTCAAAAAATCTTCATTCAAATTTTTCAATTTAAGGTTGGTCCAATTTTTGACACATTTTCATGTCATTTATTTCCAAGTTTCCGATGTGTTGTTAGAAAGTGGCCCACAACTGGACTTCCGATATCCATAACTTTATCAAATTTTATCCGATTCCAAAGTGGCATACCTCTGAGGACTTGTGGTTTCATTTTCTAAAAATCTGCATTCAAATTTTTCAATTAAACGTTGACCAAATTTTTGACCCATTTTCATGTCATTTAATTCCAAGTTTCCGATGTGTTGTTAAAAGTTGGCCCACATCTGGACTTCCGATATCCATAACTTTATCAACTTTTATCCGATTCCAAAGTGGCATACCTCTAAAGACTTGTGGTTTGGTTCTCAAAAAATCTGCATTCAAATTTTTCATTTTAAGGTTGGTCCAACTTTTGACCCATTTTCATGTCATTTATTTCCAAGTTTCCGATGTGTTGTTAAATGGTGGCCCACAACTGGACTTCCGATATCCATAACTTTATCAAATTTTATCCGATTCCAAAGTGGCATACCTCTAAAGACTCGTGGTTTGATTCTCTAAAAATCTGCATTCAAATTTTTCATTTTAAGGTTGATTCAATTTTTGACTCATTTTCATGTCATTTATTTCCAAGTTTCCGATGTGTTGTTAAAAAGTGGCCCACAACTGGACTTCCGATATCCATAACTTTATCAAATTTTATCCGATTCCAAAGTGGCATACCTCTAAAGACTCGTGGTTTGATTCTCAAAAAATCTGCATTCAAATTTTTAATTTTAAGGTTGGTCCAATTTTTGACTCATTTTCATGTCATTTATTTCCAAGTTTCCGATGTGTTGTTAGAAAGTGGCCCACAACTGGACTTCCGATATCCATAACTTTATCAAATTTTATCCGATTCCAAAGTGGCATACCTCTGAAGACTTGTGGGTTGATTCTCTAAAAATCTGCATTCAAATTTTTCAATTTAAGATTGGTCCAATTTTTGAGCCATTTTCATGTCATTTATTTCCAAGTTTCCGATGTGTTGTTAAAAAGTGGCCCACAACTGGACTTCCGATATCCATAACTTTATCAAATTTTATCCGATTCCAAAGTGGCATACCTCTAAAGACTCGTGGTTTGATTCTCAAAAAATCTGCATTCAAATTTTTCAATTTAAGGTTGGTCCAATTTTTGACCCATTTTCATGTCATTTATTTCCAAGTTTCCGATGTGTTGTTAAAAAGTGGCCCACAACTGGACTTCCGATATCCATAACTTTATCAAATTTTATCCGATTCCAAAGTGGCATACCTCTAAAGACTCGTGGTTTGATTCTCTAAAAATCTGCATTCAAATTTTTCATTTTAAGGTTGATTCAATTTTTGACTCATTTTCATGTCATTTATTTCCAAGTTTGTGGTTACATTCTCTAAAAATCTGCATTCAAATTTTATCCGATTTCAAAGTGGCATACCTCTAAAGACTTGTGGTTACATTCTCTAAAAATCTGCATTCAAATTTTATCCGATTTCAAAGTGGCATACCTCTAAAGACTTGTGGTTTGATTCTCAAAAAATCTTCATTCAAATTTTTCAATTTAAGGTTGGTCCAATTTTTGACACATTTTCATGTCATTTATTTCCAAGTTTCCGATGTGTTGTTAAAAAGTGGCCCACAACTGGACTTCCGATATCCATAACTTTATCAAATTTTATCCGATTCCAAAGTGGCATACCTCTGAAGACTTGTGGGTTGATTCTCTAAAAATCTGCATTCAAATTTTTCAATTTAAGATTGGTCCAATTTTTGAGCCATTTTCATGTCATTTATTTCCAAGTTTCCGATGTGTTGTTAAAAAGTGGCCCACAACTGGACTTCCGATATCCATAACTTTATCAAATTTTATCCGATTCCAAAGTGGCATACCTCTAAAGACTCGTGGTTTGATTCCCAAAAAATCTGCATTCAAATTTTTAATTTTAAGGTTGGTCCAATTTTTGACTCATTTTCATGTCATTTATTTCCAAGTTTCCGATGTGTTGTTAAATGGTGGCCCACAACTGGACTTCCGATATCCATAACTTTATCAAATTTTATCCGATTCCAAAGTGGCATACCTCTAAAGACTCGTGGTTTGATTCTCTAAAAATCTGCATTCAAATTTTTCATTTTAAGGTTGATTCAATTTTTGACTCATTTTCATGTCATTTATTTCCAAGTTTCCGATGTGTTGTTAAAAAGTGGCCCACAACTGGACTTCCGATATCCATAACTTTATCAAATTTTATCCGATTCCAAAGTGGCATACCTCTGAAGACTTGTGGGTTGATTCTCTAAAAATCTGCATTCAAATTTTTCAATTTAAGATTGGTCCAATTTTTAAGCCATTTTCATGTCATTTATTTCCAAGTTTCCGATGTGTTGTTAAAAAGTGGCCCACAACTGGACTTCCGATATCCATAACTTTATCAAATTTTATCCGATTCCAAAGTGGCATACCTCTAAAGACTCGTGGTTTGATTCTCAAAAAATCTGCATTCAAATTTTTCAATTTAAGGTTGGTCCAATTTTTGACCCATTTTCATGTCATTTATTTCCAAGTTTCCGATGTGTTGTTAAATGGTGGCCCACAACTGGACTTCCGATATCCATAACTTTATCAAATTTTATCCGATTCCAAAGTGGCATACCTCTAAAGACTCGTGGTTTGATTCTCTAAAAATCTGCATTCAAATTTTTCATTTTAAGGTTGATTCAATTTTTGACTCATTTTCATGTCATTTATTTCCAAGTTTCCGATGTGTTGTTAAATGGTGGCCCACAACTGGACTTCCGATATCCATAACTTTATCAAATTTTATCCGATTCCAAAGTGGCATACCTCTAAAGACTCGTGGTTTGATTCTCAAAAAATCTGCATTCAAATTTTTCAATTTAAGGTTGGTCCAATTTTTGACCCATTTTCATGTCATTTATTTCCAAGTTTCCGATGTGTTGTTAAAAAGTGGCCCACAACTGGACTTCCGATATCCATAACTTTATCAAATTTTATCCGATGCCAAAGTGGCATACCTCTAAAGACTTGTGGTTTGATTCTCAAAAAATCTGCATTCAAATTTTTCAATTTAAGGTTGGTCCAATTTTTGACCCATTTTCATGTCATTTATTTCCAAGTCTCCGATGTGTTGTTAAATGGTGGCCCACAACTGGACTTCCGATATCCATAACTTTATCAAATTTTATCCGATTCCAAAGTGGCATACCTCTAAAGACTCGTGGTTTGATTCTCAAAAAATCTGCATTGAAATTTTTCATTTTAAGGTTGGTCCAATTTTTGACCCATTTTCATGTCATTTATTTCCAAGTTTCCGATGTGTTGTTAAATGGTGGCCCACAACTGGACTTCCGATATCCATAACTTTATCAAATTTTATCCGATTCCAAAGTGGCATACCTCTAAAGACTCGTGGTTTGATTCTCAAAAAATCTGCATTCAAATTTTTCAATTTAAGGTTGGTCCAATTTTTGACCCATTTTCATGTCATTTATTTCCAAGTTTCCGATGTGTTGTTAAATGGTGGCCCACAACTGGACTTCCGATATCCATAACTTTATCAAATTTTATCCGATTCCAAAGTGGCATACCTCTAAAGACTCGTGGTTTGATTCTCAAAAAATCTGCATTCAAATTTTTCAATTTAAGGTTGGTCCAATTTTTGACCCATTTTCATGTCATTTATTTCCAAGTTTCCGATGTGTTGTTAAATGGTGGCCCACAACTGGACTTCCGATATCCATAACTTTATCAAATTTTATCCGATTCCAAAGTGGCATACCTCTAAAGACTTGTGGTTTGATTCTCAAAAAATCTGCATTCAAATTTTTCAATTTAAGGTTGGTCCAATTTTTGACCCATTTTCATGTCATTTATTTCCAAGTTTCCGATGTGTTGTTAGAAAGTGGCCCACAACTGGACTTCCGATATCCATAACTTTATCAAATTTTATCCGATTCCAAAGTGGCATACCTCTAAAGACTTGTGGTTTGATTCTCAAAAAATCTGCATTCAAATTTTTCAATTTAAGGTTGGTCCAATTTTTGACCCATTTTCATGTCATTTATTTCCAAGTTTCCGATGTGTTGTTAAAAAGTGGCCCACAACTGGACTTCCGATATCCATAACTTTATCAAATTTTATCCGATTCCAAAGTGGCATACCTCTAAAGACTTGTGGTTTGATTCTCAAAAAATCTGCATTCAAATTTTTCAATTTAAGGTTGGTCCAATTTTTGACCCATTTTCATGTCATTTATTTCCAAGTTTCCGATGTGTTGTTAAAAGGTGGCCCACAACTGGACTTCCGATATCCATAACTTTATCAAATTTTATCCGATTCCAAAGTGGCATACCTCTAAAGACTTGTGGTTTGATTCTCAAAAAATCTGCATTCAAATTTTTCAATTTAAGATTGGTCCAATTTTTGACCCATTTTCATGTCATTTATTTCCAAGTTTCCGATGTGTTGTTAAAAAGTGGCCCACAACTGGACTTCCGATATCCATAACTTTATCAAATTTTATCCGATTCCAAAGTGGCATACCTCT